TCCCCATGCTGACTCATTAATCCTTCTCCCTTGTACCCAGACAACTCACATAGCCAATCCGACTAGCTGCCGTTACAGCCATCTGCAAGTAACGAGAAGACTCACTCTACGGAATACAGCAGCCACGGGTGCGGAGCCAGTTGACGAGCAGATTCAGTTAAAAGAAAAAGGGGCTATCAGGAAGAAAAAGGATTGCGAACTTCTTCTCGCATGTGTGAGGCATTTCCCGGTACATAAGGATGGTAGGCTGCGATACCGCGGAGGGAAAGGGATAATAAGAATAATTCGAGCAGCTGATATCCGCGAGCTAATAGGGATACTAAACTGCAAAGGTAGAGAGTATATAGTTAGAAGATATACGGCGCTCTTCGAATAGGTCATGATCAATTACAATTGAACCAATTGGTGTTATAATTAATAGAATCGTGGATTAAGCAGCCTAACTGTTTGAGTTAAGCAGTTTACTGTTTAATATGTTGGCGGTAACTGTTTAAATGAACCGACTACACATGGAATTAAGCAGTTTTACTGTTTAATTGACGTAACATTAGCTAAACTGTTTATAGCCAATGCGCGAGAATAAACAGTTTTACTGTTTACCAATGAGTAAACAGTAAAACTGCTTAACAAATTGAACAGTAAAACTGTTTACTGATAGGTAAACAGTAAAACTGCTTAACGAATTGAACAGTAAAACTGTTTACTCATAGGTAAACAGTAAAACTGCTTAACGAATTGAACAGTGAAACTGTTTAAACCATGACTAAACAGTTTTGTTGTTTAATCAAAGGTCACGTCTAGATGCGGCGGAAAGCTTTAAACAGTTAAACTGTTTATACTAGGTATTAAACGATCTGGCTGTTGAAAGCGACATGGGTTTAAACAGTTCAACTGTTTAAACCCGGCACTTAACCAATTTCTGGGCAGAATGCCAAATTCTAAACAGTTTTATTGTTTAAAATTTGGATTTAAACAGTTTTTAAGCGACTTAAGCAGTAAGACTGCTTAAGTTAAACAGTTGCCACCGGACTTATGTACCATAGTGATCCACCCGGCATGACTTCTCCAGTAAAGAGGCAACAACAAACCAGCAGACCCCGGAAGCCCTAGCGCGAAGGGAAGCACAGCGACCATTGGGTCATGCTTCCCGGGGACTGCGAAAGGCGGTCTTTTTCACCGGCCTCCCCGCGCGTCCTCTCCGCCCTCAGCCTGGCGAACTGAGGGTGATGGCGATGTCGAGGGGGGTCCCTCCCTACATCTCGGTTTTCCCCCTGCTTTTTTGTCCTTCTCCTTACGGAGAGGACGCAGCCCCCTATTGGTCTTTGGGTGTTCCGAGGGACCAAAAGGGGACTTTCACCTTTTTCTTCTTTTTCCCTTGTTTTTTCAGCTCCTCTGGTTTGTTTCTCTCCTTTCCTTCCCTTTACTAATACTTTTTGTTTATTTAAACTTTATTTATTCTTACTTTATGTATTTTTATTTTATTTATTTTTTATTTTTATTGATCTTTATTTTTTTCCTTATTTTCTTATCTATCTTTATCTCGTTTGTTTTATGTGTTTATTTTTTATCATGTACCTTAATCGTAACATTCATTAATTTAACAAACATTTTCTCTTCGCTTTCTCCACGTGCACTAGTTGTGATCATGGATGTCTTCTTTCTCTCTCGCGCTGTCCTGTTTTCCTTTTGAGCTACGTACGTCCTTTCTCTCCTGTTCTGCGCCTCCTCCCTTCACACTGATCCTAAGACCTTTCTCCCGTATACGTATCCTTACTCATTAAGTTTCCCAATTCGCTTCCAATCTCTTCTTCTTTATTTCTTTTTTCAACTATCTGTACATATATTCTCATTTGGCAATTGAATTTCTACACCCATGGCCATCTTATTAATCCATTTCATGCTACTTCCAGTGACCAATATCTAATCCTCGATCCTCCTCCCTAGTTCCACGCGATAATTCTCTGGTTTGCTTATAAGAATCCTATCCTCTTCCTTCCTCCTTTTACCTCTGTCCTTTAGATTTATCCTTCCTGCTCTCGTGATGTTCGAGTCTCCAAAAGCACCATCGCCGGCCGTAGTAATGCAGTTCAAAACAGCAGTGATCTCTATGATTTCGCTACCTATTACACTTGCACTTTCCTCTACACTCTGCCCCTTGTGTTCACTCCGTCGACGTAGTACTCAAGTGTAGCATGTAACCTAGCCTTTGAGCCTTACCGGTGGCCGCTGCGCTGCCCTCCCCAAGTGCTAGGGTATGTAATAGAAAATATGAAGGAACAGTATAAAAGAACGACTTGTGAGCCAAGCAGCTGTCACGATAGAGACAAGAAAAGTGAGGTCGTTGGAGTGATAGGCAAGATCTAGATTCATTGAAATTCTCAGTTAACACAGCAATCTTTCCCCTAGCTCGGATTCAAGCGACTGTTGCATAAGATTTGGAACAGTAGAGGATAGGATTCTCTATCACGCTCAAAATCTGCTGTCAAGCATTAGTAGGTAAAGGCTACAGTTTTTCTCTGTTAGCTGATCTTAATTATAAGCTAGAACGTGTACCCCCCCCCCCCCCCCCCACACACACACACACACACACACATACACACACGCTGGGTTCACTTCCTCCTGTGTTGAAAAAATGACTTCCTCATTTCCGTCAAACCAACTGCACTTCCGTCGAAGAAGGCCCAAGGCATTTCTAACCCATTTTTGTATTCAGATACCGGAATGATGGCATCTGCGCCGGAACTGTGTCCTGCGTTTAGTATTATCTCTGACACTATTCCGTGAGTCGACACTAATATCAGAGACTAGTTGAAAGGAATCGATGCATGCTAGCTGTATAAAAGGGGAGTGAACGAATGACGTTACAAAGTAAAATGTTTCAGTGAGAAGCTCTCGGAGCTATTACTCCTGAGCAGTCCTGAACATCATTCCCGAAAGTACATACTCGTTGTTTATTTACAGATATAATCGTATGGGGATCTATGCATACCTCATGTGACCACTCTGAGCTTCCTTCATAACAGCATCCAGGACAGCCACCGGCAATACAGCAAGCATTCATATTGGGAGCGCTTGCTCTGCTGAGGTAGGGCTGCATCTGGTCGGTGTTCTCCGTGGCCCTCAATACGAGCCTACAAGTTCGGGGTTTATTGTGGAGGGAAGAGATACTAGTAGTAATATAGGTAAGACTCTGTCGATCGAGAAGATCTCTGTTCCTCGTTGTCCTCCTTCAGAACGATTGATTAGGCGCTTCGATTGTGTTATTCAGCTATTGTCCGGCACAATCTTCAGCCGAGTCATATGTACTTAGTTCCGGATTTCTTTTCCAGCGTTCCTGAGTTAGTTTCAGAAACCATGAATAGGATGGACATACTGTGGGTTATGATTCTTACCATCGACCGCACCCTCATACCCCCCGGATCCAGTCTCCGCCGAGTTATCTTTTGCAAAACATCTGAGTAGCCAGGGCAGTTCATCCCTCTCAATGCCTTCTGTCATTGCTGACCCGAAGTTAAGGCCTTATCCGTTTCCTTGGGGCACCCTGTGGGGGCTTGACTACCGTCTAGTCTTCAGTCTTTCCTGCTCGTTGTACGATGATACGATACGAGTGCGGGCCGCACGGTTGAAGCTGATCCGAGCAAAAATAATTGAAGTGGGAGGAGGATGAGAGTCAAATTGAAGCTTAAGCGTTGTTTGTTGGCGGACACACTGTCCCTTCAGGCCGTGCGCAGAATCAAGATTACCGAGGTCAATGCAGCCCCCATATTGCGCTGCACGATATACATCTAGGCATGACACGTAGCCGATCCCACCCCGCCTTTTGAATCCTGGACAACGTACCTACATGAGCTTTTTTATCTCTCTGTTCCTTCCCCTCATCTCCTTCTTTCTCTACTCGTGTTTTTTTTGCATGATCATAGACCTAGCTATGATCATCTTGACTACTCCATCGCTGTATACGCGGCTCATCAAGTCTTTCCTTATCCCCTGAGTATTACCGCATCCCTGTACTGGAAACATAGCCTATTAACCCCGGATGGGACTTCAGATGTAGCAATTTACGGACTTGTTTTTCATCCACTTTCATCTACCCTTCGGATGATCTTCACATCAACCTTCCAGGGGTCTAGTCTAGCGTAGCTGGGGAGTTAGAGACCCTTGCCTACCTATTTACATTACCCGAAATTCATCTTTCTATGAAATAATCATACCAGGAAGGATCTCTCCTCTCTTCGTCATCATCCTTTTGAAGTACATCAAATTCCGCTGCTCGTCCTAAACCAGGCCTGGGAAATTCTTACCGTATCACGTTCCTTACAGATTATCTTACGGATCATCTTACAGATCATCTTACTGATCATCTTACAGATCATCTTACGGATCATCTTACAGATCATCTTACGGATCATCTTTCCTCTGCGGGGGTTTGATGCAATACTTATGAGACGTGACCGAAACAGAACGATCCAGCTATCTATTTCCTCCCACATGACTCAGGCGTTCAGTGAAGGGTCGTGAAAACAGTGTTCATCGGGGAATTCTTGGTGTTACTTTCACGACCTTTTACTGAACACCCAAGTACATCTCAACTTAGATGGGGCAAAGATTTGAAAATGATTACGGGAGAATAGAACCAGCTAGAAGATGTCCAATAGAGCTGATTGGCACTTGGTCGCTCGAGCATATACGACGACACTGGATATTATTGATGGATACTGCCAAAGAAATACGACCCTGAGAGTGACGCTGCATTACTTCCGCGCGTACATCTGGATTTGGCACAAATACTGAACTTCACCTTTTCACTTGATATAAATTTACCGGATACTAGTTCAAAATCCTAGATTTATTCAAATCTGCATAATACTCAATCAAAGTTTAATAATAATCCTCAAGGACAAAACCTGCGCGACCCTTCCCAGAGTTTCCTCGCTTCTACGCCCTAGTCCATCACAGCATTTCGAAATTCTTCCCGTGCTCACTTCCCTTAAAACCTGCACTTAGTCGGTCATGGGGAAGGTGCTCCCCGAGCCTGAATCAGATTCCTCCTCCCCCTTCTCCCACTCCTCCTCCCCCTCAGCCCTCATGGGTTCCGGCAATGCACTTGTCTTACACCGCATCTTGGTTATATCACGAGACACCTTCTTCTCGACTGTCTCGGTGAATTCAGGAAGGCCCTCAAAAATATGGTACTGAAGTGCTTCACGCGCGGTCCATCTCTGGGCCGGATCGACAGTCAAGCAACATCTTAAAAAGATTTCAACTAGCAATCTCATGTCAGCGCCAAACAAACCCAAATGATAGACTTCAACCTACCGGCCTTGGAGCAGCAGATGCTCGGAAATTCACTGCAATCTTCGAGGTATTCTTCTGTCCCGAAACGGGGGTTGAAAGGCAAATCTCCCGTAATCATGAAGAACGCTGAGACACCAATGGCCCACATGTCACTATTGAATTTATCAGTATCCTTTCAGATAATAGAGATGGGTTCAAGCTACGGGGGACACAACATACACTCCGAATCCATATTCCAAGCTTCCACTCTCGTGAAAGATCTCTGGAGCTTGGTAACCCAGTGTTCCTGGCTCGCCATCGACGGTCAATTTGCCGCCTGGGCCGAGAGTGAGTGCTAACCCGAAGTCACAGAGCAGAGCCTTTGATGGTTCATCGTTTTGGAGATCTTCGATAACGATGTTCTCAGGCTTCACATCTACTTCACAGTCAGCAGCCGCGTCTTCAACATTGCAAATCACAAGACTTACCACGGTGAACAATCCCATTCTCGTGGCAAATGGCCAGCGCCTGTAGGAGTTGGTGGATGATTTTGATCATTGTGCCCTCCGTCAGGTATGATTTGGTCTTAACCCACGTCCACATATCACCGCCAGACGCGAGATCCATAACGATGTAGTCTAGAAGAGATCAACCACACATCATGTCAGCTAACGAACACCCAAAACTGAAATAAAACAGCCATACTCACTTTTGCCTCCGGCACGAAATAGATCCACCAGCTTTGTAAAAGGTGCCTCGATATCCTGCAGTTTCTTCAACAAACATACCTCTTGGTCGAACTTTAATAAAAGTTAGCAAAACTCCAAATAACACGCAAAGGAACAAAACATTACCGCTCCCGCGTCCTCCCCGGGCAATATCTTGACCGCAAAAAGAATGCCGCTCTCCAGATGTTGACAGATGTTCACTGTTGAGTAGCCACCCTCACCTATCTCTCGTCCCAGGCTATAAAGACATGCTGGTAGCATCTCTTGGTTTTCCATTATATTATTCATATCAACCTATTGGTCCTGGTTGATGATAAAGATAACGATAACGATAAGATGCGGGCGAGATAGAGGGTGGTCTCAGACTCTCGAAAATATCTCCACTGCTGACCTGGAAGATACAGCACAATACTATGGATTTGCCGGTCAGTGGTGATGTGTTTAAAGTAAGCTCGGGGAGTCCCGTTGAGTATATATATGCAGATACTATATTCAAGAATCTTTCTATGAGTAGACGCTCCTTCTGCAAGAAATGGTACTTTAATCAAGATGCGCTGTCAGTATTTCAAGGTTGTGCGCTTTCAAGAGTGTGTGAGTTGCCTAATAGTCAAGATCTTGAAGAGTGGGAACTTGATACTCGAAAATCGCCTGGTTAGAAACTCACTGAGCTTGAAAAGGAAAGAACACTGGGATTTAGGAGAGAGCCGGGGCTCGTTGATATATAAGATTTGAAATGCTAGTGATGGATTTACAAATGTCGTTGGGCCCAAATTCTGCTCGTCGAACAGAATAGAGGGAACTCGGGCAACAGCTCATAGAAGTAGTTCTGGACATCAACGGTTATGGGGAGCTCAAGTGCTACAAAAAGAGACATATTCTTGACTCATTGCTCTTCGACCAGTTATTTTGATGATCGTATCAGACCGGTGTGCTACGTAGATACGTAAGCGTGGGAAAAAATAGACTCAATACGCTCTCTTGAGATTTGAATGGTCAGCATAGTCAAGTCTATTCGATAACACAACTATCGCAATTCTAGAATCAACTGAACGAATCATCGGGCACGTTTTCTAGAGTAATAACAACCGGCCATAGATTCGCTCCCATTGAGGAAGTTCCTCGATCTTGAACGTACCATCAAATGAAGGATTACCTCCTAGATGACGTAAGGGAACGATTCTCAATAACGTTTTACGTTATATTTCCCCATCAGACCCTTCCTCGAATTGCCTGGGTGCTTTTGTCATGTGGACGATCAGTTCTTTTGGTCACGAGCTCACCCACTCGATTCTATGTTTTGCAAATGTTCCCATCATTACTCAGAATACCAGCCATCTAGTAGTTACTAAAATCAATTCTCTGTAGCAGTTATGGCATTCTCAGCTACTAGACTGTGTCCAGTCTTTCTATCCAATCGCCAGTCCCTCATGAATATGAGCTGAAATAAACCGACATCTTCCAATCAAAGCTTTCGGTTCCTTCGGACAATAGTGAAGCCTTTTCCCACACCATTCTTTCAATTCTATATTTTCATTCCCAACTGCTGCTCTAGGAGTTTTGTCAACTAGATCACCGGAGCTGGAGCCTACCTATCTAGCAGTTTGGTTAGTAATGCAAGGTCACTACGCGCATCACTGAGGGATCTAGTTCCTGAAATATGAAGATATGATGTTGGAGTTAGCAGAAGATTTACTTCTGTGCTCAGAGAGGCATTCAAGCTAACCAGATACTCCTCCCGGATAGTCTTCGTCGCTCATCTTTCGTTTTCTCTAGGCCTCTTCACCAATATCCAAGCCCTGACTTGCCGCGACACCACCGAATATCACCCACAGATACTACGGAGGAGCCAGGAAGAGTAGGAAGAGACGATACCAGCCAGAAATCAAAGTCTTTGTGTACAATATCAGCTCTGGATGCTAGTGCTTTGTGTTGACGCCTGTAGTGTGGTGTGACGCATAGCGAGTGATATCTCATGATCCTTGGCCTCACCGCGACTGGTCCGAAAATCAAAAAGAATCTTTGGGACCTTATCATCCTGAATGGCCTCACGTTATGGAGAGTCAAAGTACTGCTTATCAAGCTGTAGATTGACGATTTTACCGGGAATCTCGCTCCATGGACGAATGTGCTGGTTCGAAGCTAGCTTGTGCATTTGAATTGTGACCCTCTGTAGGGATACATAGGGTGCCATCCCTATAGATTCAGAGAAAGCTTTAGAGGGACCTTTGGTATTTGAATATGGGTCATATATTGCCGGTATAGCGGATATCTTCTGCTCTAGAATATCTGACAAGAAACAGCATACCAAAGTAGTATAACGCAGGGCACCCGATACTCCCAGAGTAGTTATATAGTACAAGAACTGAAGGCTCTAACCTGCTCTTCGTAGCATATAAATGCCTGGCCTCTAGCCAGGCCTCACCAGGTCGATCCTCTTCGACAAATAACACTGGTCCAATCGCAAATCCATCAAGAGCTATCTCAACTAATATCGATCATCACTAGTCTTCCTAAACGCCCTCCCAAAATGTAAACCCCACAGCCCACACTTCTACCCACGACACGCTCCATGCCAACGCCAAGGGTAAGCTTCGAACCCTCCCCGAAGTCCTCACCCCCGCCACATGCCACATACAGCAAGGAAACGCCCCTGCCGCGTCGGGACCGCCGCACGATAATCCTTGCTCGGATCTAGCCGTTGAGATGCAGCAGGTTGTTGGTGGAGTGCCGGTCAAGTTTTGCTTCATACTATAAGAGTTCCTAAGGTAAATGATATGTATGTAGCTGGCTAGTCAGGTCGTGCTCGATAGAATACATGGCTGTACGCGTAATAAATTTATCAATAGAGAGGTTCCGCAAGAAAATATTAAATTCGGCTCGCGACCGGACTCATCATTGGTTGACACGGCAGATTCCCAAAGATTATTCCCCAAAGAAGGACACCTTTGACTCCACAGAGCCGTTAATCGAACTCTCACTTGTGCTTTTTGCTTTCCATAGCTCAAAGCAAAGAGCTCTAAGTTTCGATTAACAGGCTTTAGGAGTGTTTTGATCTCAATCAGGAATATTTCCAGTAACTCTGCTCCACTTAGGCCTTCATTCTCAAATCACATCGCATCCCATATTTAATCCAAAGTCTGGTTGCGAAACCTCTCCAATAAAATCAAGTTGTTCTACCTCCCTCTCTGCTGTGCCGGCTCCCCCGCTACGCTGCGCTATCCTGTGCTGATAGATTCCAGCTTCCCTAACCATACCTCTTCGTTGTAAGGTTTGCCGGGGCGTGTCTATAGAGCTTTATATTCGCTAAACAATGTCGGATATGACCTAGGTCTCGAGATCGAGGTGGTCCTGGAGGCTAGTGATGCTACTCCGGTGCCCCCAATACGGGTAGTGGCTAATAGTTTCCTTTTCATATATGAGTTCCTGGCATGACGTACGTAGCAGCATACATATACAACACCCGTGCCGGTTCAAAGTTTCTATGTGAGTTTTGACCAAAAGTCGGCACTCGCTCAAGTTAGTCAAAATGGACCGGGGGTATATTAAGCCCAGCTAGATTTGTTAAAAAAGAATCTTAATTAATGACCAAACAAGCAGAGTCGAAATATTACCATAAGAAGAAAATAGAGAGTAGCACTTTGGCGAAACCAGCAATCAAAAGAAGAAAGGAAATGAAGGAAAGAGCGTTGCTTTTGACACAGTATTAATACGGAAATTATACTGAGTCAATCGTCTCTAGAAATAACAATGCCCGGTTCAAAAGCCATATCAGAATAAAATTTTGACGGGCCTGACCAAACTCCATTTCATATTTTTCACAGTCTTTCCGACCCTGCCCAGTCTCAAGTTCATCTCCCAACTCTTGAGTACATGCGTAGATCAATGTGAGACGGTGATCTACATCATTGACCACCAATTGGTATTTCTCGTATATCGGCTCTAGTAGGAGTGGAAATGCATCAATTTTGACGTTTCCCATACAAAAAGTTGCGACATACACATTATTTGGACCGACGGTGTGTTAAAGGCATTCCTGCCCCATTACCGACGAGTTTCCTAATGCCTTTACCTCTATGGACGACTTTACTGACGACTTTACCAGTTAAAGGCATGTTAAATGCAAAATAAATGATGGTTTCCGGTGTTTCCCGTTCCCGCCGGAAAATCAATATTTTCTGATGAAGCCTCTCCTCTAGATCTCGAGATAGTTGAGTCCCCAAATAGAATATTTCGATGGGGTCATCAAATGGTATCTGGCATCAATGGGCTTGTAACAGTTGGGGAATATGATTTAATTTTGATGGATCTATTGTTTGGCATATATGTACATGTACATACATGTAGACAGAACAGACATAGGTTGGCATTCGCGGCGCATCGGTACGTTGGCCCTTTCTTTCCCCCTTCCCCCCGAATCCCCGGCGCCCACTACACAGGTGTATGGGATGGATATATCAGACAACAATAATAGAACTGAGGTAAAAGTAAGAAGAAGAAAAAAAAAACAATTGTTTGTGTAGTGGATCTAAGCGGGATTCGAACCCGGTATCCGCTGTCGTCATAAGTTTCCTAAACCGGAGGCATATACCACTACACAAACAGAACTTGTTGGAGGAACTGCGTGCTGGGAAGGATGGTAAACGACACACGTATACGTACATAGTCTCGTACCCGCCTGTAAGTACCGTACTTACAGTAACTTCTATGCCAGCTGCCCACCAGTCCCAACAAGCCGTCCGTCGGTCTTCCTTTCTGGCGTATGTACAATGTATCTGTTGGCGCACATACAAGTTACACAATGTACATATGTACATGCAGGCTATTCTGCTTTGATACTCCTGGTACAATAGTAGGATGCTCTGTGATGATTCACTTCATTCGTGATGGCCTTCGTCAATTATGTGAAGCATTACCGGTTACCAAAACTTATCCCCCTGTGTGAAATGGGTGACAGAAGCGTGACCAGTAAAGACATCAGTAAAGTCGTCGGTAAAGTCATTTGTAAATCATTAAAAAATCGTCTGTAAAGTCGTCCGATTTCCCTTAAAACGACTTCCCCTCTGCCAAAATATTGTCATTTCCCAGCGAAAATTGGGACCCCAGAAACGACTTTCCCGACGAATTTACTTAATATTCGAGGTATACATTTCCACCCCCCCCTAGAGCGGCCCTTCTGGCAAAAGTGGTGTTTCCAACGCTTCCATGTAAGAAATCAGAATATGCTCTTCGTTCTTATACTCCACAATTTTCTTCTCCATGCCTTCAGTACCCATCTTAAGGAATGCTTCAAATAGCAGTGGTTGTTGCTCATGGGATAAACTTAACGTTCGTCTCCGTTTTGCTAAATCCCAACCATTAACTCTGACAGTGTTGCAATAAAACTTTCGTAAAAGCTTGAGATCCCATCTTTCTGAGTCAGTCAGGGTGCCCTGTAGCTTCTCGTCAACGGCAAGAATTTCAGTTGCATTATCGATGCTATTGTCCTTCAATTGTTGTATAAAAGGGGTGCAATAATCGATATCACGTAGATTGCGTCTTACTGCATTCAGATAATTAATGTTGGTAGTCTCCGGAATTAGGGACCAAGGTTCAGAGGTTCGCAAATTGTCCATGACTTTCTTATTCGGCAATTGAAGTTAGGAAGGAAGAAATTTGGTTTGACAATTGAGGAGTGTAGAGAAACCTCTGCGAATCTGGTTCTGTGTCGACTGATTGGCTAACCTGATGATTTTAATTAGTGGTATGTAAAATTGCATGTTATAAAACATTTTCAAATAGATACATCTCCATTTCAATGGTTTTCAGTGCCATTACCCAAGCTTCAAGGCGAGATGACTCAAGATTGTAGGGTTTGAAGCATTCTATATATTGCAGTTACATCCGTGAACAAATGTTTCCTATATATCACCAACATGACGGGGTAAATGGGATTCACAATAAGAATAATCCTGTGGCCATGGTAGAGTGTTGCCACTCCCCTGAGCGGAAAGAACCTAAAAGCTGAGATGAAAAATCACTTCATTTTTACTGGACGCACTTTGTGTTGTCTGGCGTACAAATTCTGGCCGACCAAATCCCAAACCCAATTGTAAGACCCAATCAAATTAACCGAATTTAATTGATGAAATAAAATTACTCATTAAAATCTGTCTTTCGGCCCTGAAATCATTAATATATATAGAGCAACATACACGCGTAATATATATCTTCCTTTTGGAATAGAATCGACCTTGATATCTTTAGTTTTGTTAATAGTGTCAACTTAAATAGAGTGAGAGGCCCTCTTCCACAATTCAAACGAGCCTTTTGCGCTTTATTCAACCCTATACAATTTATTCCGCTCACATCAAATCCTGGTCAGAACATTAGCATCCGTAAGCAAAACTTTGAGTGTATGATTCAACAGTTTTCTTAATACCGAATCGATGGCCGAAGACAATTCGAGACCTCTACCTTGGTCTTTAATACCAAAAAGTGACATCAAGAACTATGTTCATCTTGTCAACCTCGACCTCAAAGCACTGAAGAATTCGCACAAGGATAAAAAGCACTATATAGATCGGTGCGAGTTTCACGCCAGTAGGGTTGTTTATCTCGATAATGAAGTTTCAAAAATCAAATCTCCTTCTGGGCCCGACTTTTGGGATCAGAACTGCCGCGGCTTGAGCTGTGAGTTAATTAAAGTGTATACTGTCATGTCAGAACTATGCAAAGAAGACTACGAGTTCCGTCTAAAGCGTCAGCCTGAACTCTTCCAAGGACTAGCTGCTATGGATACCCAAGTTATGGAGAAGCTGCTTGCTGAATACACTGCCGAGGAAGATATTCTAACCAGATATATGCAGAATTATGAAATACCTCTTTTGCCGGAAGGTCCGGTTTACGAGAAATATAGGCGATTGAGAGCACGAGTTGATCGGAGATTGGCGGGTCTTGAAATCAGGATCCAAGAGCTGAAAGATGAAATAAAGACTGGCCAAGCACTCAAAGACTGCATTGAGTATGAAAAGGAATTTGGACAGGGTGCTAAAGATTTCGTAATGATATGGATTTTGAATCGAGCACTTGTGTTTGTGCTTACTCTACAATGATTACGTTTGAATTAAGCTGGTTTTGTTATAGTATTCTGCGATTCCCTTCCTTTTAATTTTTCTTTGGGACCGGAACAAGTGTTAAAATAATTATCAAGGTTCTTAGTAGTCAATTAAACTTCTTGTTTGACAACTCGTTTGAGGATTGCCGTGCAGCCGCGCGCCCTGCAAAAGTGTTTGTGATCCTCCTATATATATAACACGTAACATATATTTATCAGGAGCACCAATACTTGCGCAGGCAGGCGGGCACGTAGTGAGTCGCGTCTAAAGGAAAGCAGTACGCTAGCAATTAAATCCCAACATCCTGGCCCTGGGATCCAGCGCTGATCTTCTCCGGCAAGGTGCGGGAACTTGTGGTGGAGCTAGTCCGAGCCCGAGGTTATATAACACTCCATGTATGTACCCGAGCTCAATTGATCAAGCCATATGAAAACTTCTCCATCTGCTTATATTGTATACTTGTCCTCTAGCTCGCACTACCGAACCATCGTGCGCCTGTCCTCGCCACTCATTGCCAGACAACACCCGGGTTTCCTAATTAACAACCTCTCCCAGCTTCCGCCCCTCCTACAGGTCTTCATCACACAGTCATACTCGCCCTATTATAGCCTCCCCGCATCTGCGATTTGAAGGTAGAGTTGTCCTTCTACCACGGTACCGTCCTGGCTAGGCGTAATGGATTGTCAAATCCCCCAACTAGAACTCTGATTCAAAGCAAAGGCACAGAGCGACAGACAGTGGCAAGACGTAAGGCAACCAATCAGACAGCACGAACTTTAGAATCGACCGTATTACATCTATAGCAAGTCTAGCTAAGCAACTTTCACAGACAACAAGATATGCCCCCCGCACCTACGTACCGCAACTAGCCCACACCCCCGGTACCGGTCTCTACTCTTCAAGTCGCTACCTCTCCACCCATGCTCGCCCACTCGGTGTCTATATCTATCTTAATCAACGCCTTCTGCGAACATGGGAGGCCCCAACTATAATCTCTCCCGACACACACACTGCTTCCTGGCCAGCCTCCCTAGGACGGTAGATACATGTACTCACCGCCGAGCTCAACAGCGCATACCCCAACACACCACACCCCCAGCACATACATCACCATCATAGCTCGCTCCTCGCCTCCCCAGCTCCTAACTAAACAGTCAACAGCGCTGCTTGAATTCTCTAAGTAGTAGCTATATAGTATGCTTCGAACGCTCATATCCGGACGTCTTCGCGCGATCGCCCACGGCTCTCAACTCCCGTCTAATGCCGCATAAACCAAACTAGACGTTGCGGTGAAGACACACAGTTTACATTACCAGACGTCCCCTCTCCCCCTCTTTCATGGCTACTTGACGATACACTAACGTGAGAGCTGATAGGCTGTCTGTGGTTTCGGAGGGGTTGATTGTCTTCTCTGCACGGGGAGTAGGGTGTCCTTCCTAGCCAATGTGCCCCCATCCTTGTGTAGAAGGGTGCAGATACTGACCGTGTAGTACCTGGATCTCAACGAGTACACTCGGTCTGCGGTAATCCTCACCTCCCCGGAGCTCCAGTGAAGAAGAATGAGTACCCACACCACCCGCGACTCAGACCAGACCAGCATCTCCGAAAGGTCGAATCTACTTCCCATCTTCTCCCGGCCTCCGCTAAAGTACCGTTTGGATTCTAAAAAACGGTAGAGAAAGTGTCACTCCCGCCCTAGCATCCGCCCCACAGTTGGGGAGGGGATTTGCTAGCCGAGTGATATTCTATGACTATGCCGATACAAGGCACCGAACCAGCTAGAAGCACACCGAACCTCGAGATGTGGCGCGTCTGTCTCTTCAATCGGCATGTAGAGAGAGAAATATTTAGTAGCAATCTAATTTTCTGGTAGGTTGTATGGATATTCACAATACTCTCCTATGAGAATTACAATAATACACCTCCAGTCGCGCGGTGAGTAGCCGATTAACCACAGGTCGCCACCACGTTCTCTCATCACCATAAGTCCAAGCCTTCCGCCAGTCAAAGACTTCTACTCTTTTCCCTCCAGCTTCAACCGTGGTTTACACGAAGCACCAAGCATCAAGAAACACGCCGAAACCCCAACGCCAACAGATTATAGCAGATCGATCTCAATCTCTCTGCCTTAAGAGCACACATACAACCCCAGAGAACCCAGCCCCAACCAGGCTCACACCCAACACCAGACTCGAACGCCCCCGCCCCATCCAATGAGCCCCCTCAAAACCCCTATAAAACAGCAACGAACCCGAGCCTAGTTGCAACACCCTCTCACATGCATTCCAAACCAGATCCACCCAGGCACATCCCACCGCGAGATTCCCGGCTGTCATAATCTGTCACCATCTTATCTAGCTGATCCACCACGGCCTAGCCTACCTATCGGGGCGGCCGGGGGTGGGGTTGAGCTAGAACCGCGCTGCTGCCATATATGGGCCGAGTATGGAGCCACAAAAAGCGATCTATATCACGGAAGTCATATTTATTCAGCACAGTATCTTTGTTCATTAATCCGCGAGACCATAGGATATAGAACTACGTGTATTGTCAGAATCAGGTCGGGCAATGGACCGGTAACTAAAGCACAGCTGCGGCGCTCTCCATGCGCCGCTCCAGACCATCTCATAGCTAGGCTCGCTCCGCTCACCCCACAAGCCCAACTTAATTCACAATCCTCAAACCCACTGGAGCCGTCACCGAGTGACATCCTATGATCCATCACCGGCAGGGAGACCCCAACTTATCGAAACCCTACAGCAGCGTTAGAGAACGCGATTTTAGACGACGACTTTGAGTCTCTACTTCCCTTCTTCTTCTTCCACAGAACTATCCAGCGGTCAGTCGAGCGAGGGACCAGAAAACTCGGAAATTTGTAACCCGCGACTATAAGAACATATCATAGCCAACTATCGGGATGTTTCTTCATCAAACTAACTATAAGCATTTCCTCCCCCGCTATCCACCGGCTCGTCCCCCACGTACGTACACATACATATATCAGAAGGAGTTACGACCAGCCCCACAAACCGCAATCCCGGAAACACCCACACAGCCTCCAGTCCAGCCCAGCGCTCGCGCCCACAACACGGTTTTCTCCAGCACTAGTGGCGGGGGACATATACAGTGCCAATAATTGAGATAATCCCGCGGCCAGGCTCCGACACCCAGAGCCATGTACATACTTATCTGTGTTGTGAGGATACATACCTGGCCTTGTGCGTAGCCACACTCGTTATAATTGGTCCAGACCAACCCAGATCTCCCCAAACACTCCACCCTCCGAAACACCACACCAGCTAGCCACAGTGCGCGGGGTACACAAAGCCACCCCCCTCACCCCCTTATCCCCCCTTATCCCCCGTTATCCCCCGCCCCTGCCTCCTTCCCCCTCGCCCCTTGTGCATGTGGGGGCCCGCCCGGGCATCTGGTTACAACGAAACGATTCAAAACCAAACAAACCCATGATGTCGCACAAAACCCAACGCACGGACCACACACACACACAATTACGCGCGCGCGCACACAAATGAGCGCCACTTCCCCGAGGGGGGGGGCGGGGGGGAGGGGGCAGATCAGATCTAGATGACATCGAGCTTCACATGTCACTACGTAGCGCTGGTATCATTTCGGACATTTTCCCCACAACTCCTCATGGCTTTTTCGTGTTCTCAGGAAAATGCGATGCGCAGGAAGGAAAAAACCCGTAATCTATTTTTCCAGTCCCATGAACTAACAGCCTGATGGTATTGGAAACTACCAAGTAATGATGAAATGCAGACAGTGCGATACAAGTATCCCCCATCATGCAGCGCCGGATATCATCAACCCAGCCCCAACCGACCCGAACCCCAGGCAGCCCACAGCTACAAGTAGAGTACCCAGGAACTAAAAACGTATATGCAATAAAACAAAAAGACAAAAAAAAATATCACAAAAGAAGGCAAAAGCGAAAAAAAACCCGCCATTCCCAGTCATTACCCCCCCCCCCCTTAAGCTTTTCCCTCCCCCATCCCATTCCCTATGGACCCCCTCCCATCTTCCATCCCTAAAAAATCGCATCCAAACAGCAACAACACGCCAACGCGGCACAAAACGCGGCCAACATGCCCCCCACATCACTCTCCGACTTATGCGCGCCCGGCGGCGGCGGCGGCATCTGATAGACCATCGGCTGCTGCGGGTATCCCTGCTGCGGCGGTGGGTAGCCCTCTTGTTGTGGTGGATAGCCCTGGGGCGGGTAGCTGTTGTAGCCGGGCTGAGGTGAGTGGTTTTGCGGTGGGTAGCCCTGCGGTGGGTAGCCTTGCGGCGGGTAGGCTTGTGGTGGGTATTGCGGTGGTGGGGAGGCCTGGAGGGGTGGTGTGTCAGTGGGAGCAGGATGGAGGGGGGCGGAGGGGAGGGGATGAAGGGGGGGGGGAAAGGGGTATGTACTTCTTTCATGCCGTGGGTCATCTTGTGTATGCTGTTGTTGATTGTGCTTCTTTGGTGATGCGAACCTTCTGTAGCTGGCTATCTGTCTATCTCACGTACAGCAGCGGTGGCAGAGTGTCTGAAGGCGAAGCAGTGGTGAAGTGGGCGAAGAGATCGAGAGGTGAAGAAGTGAGGTTGAAAGAAGGTTACAGGGCCCGCCTGCCCACACATATAATGGAAACCCAGCCCAAGCTGCAGGTCGTCGTAATCACCACCTGTTCACCTACTGAGCGTGATGAAAGAGGCGCAGTATCCCGGGCGGGCCTCGGGGGTGCGTTGCCGCATGGGGAAATCGTGTAGGGACAGGCGCTTATCGGGATAGCTAAGCGAGATGAAACAAACGCCCGCGAACCGGTGGGTGTGTGCACGTGTTCTAGAAGCGTTGGACGGGATGGGAGAGGACGTGATAGGGTCTGGGTTTTGATTACCGCGGGTACTGTGTTTTAAGTCGAGACTGCGCGCTCTCTCGACCAAGGGATTCAAGATCAAGTGAACCCCTGTGCTTTACTTTATGGCTCTTTTCTTCTCATCTTCGGACGCGTGGGAATGAACAATGGATGGAGTGATGGAGTGCTTGGGACCTGCGCAATCATTTGCATTTTTGGTGTAGGAAATGATAGATAATCGATAGCGGGGTATGTATGACTCAACCCAAGCTGACGGGTATCATTTTGAGAGGCAATAAACCTTTTAGAAGAAGAGCCTAAGTAAACTCTGAGCTAGAAGTCGACGTCGAGCCAACAGTCGATTTGGCCAATGAGAATTGAAGATTCAAATGTGATTACTCAAAGTATCGGTTCCTGAGCGTGGGGGGTGAAGATATTGTTGTGCTAACAATTGTATATGTATTTTAGGCAGTTTTAGTGGGAATACTATGATAGGCCTAGGATAGTATATCGGAACGATTCTGGGGATTTGGTTTTCGATTCTCTGTTCCGGGAATGTTCTAAATTAGCTTTAATTTTTCATTACGCATTGGTTCCGTCTGATGGCCATGCTCATCGAAGGGATCTGAATATGTGTATAATCCGGATGCCCAAATCTGGGGAGTCAAACCCTCCGTTTTGTAGTACGCCGAGGACTTTCGGAGGCATGTGCTGCATGCTGTAGCTTGTATATGTGGTCTCTCGCTATCTTTTTAACTGTTGCGAGCAGTACGGCTTCTTAACCTTCTACCCCACAGATCTGGTATATCTGTACTTTAGCCAATAACTCAGTCCCCCACTCAGCTGCGCCCCGACCTCGTAATGCAAATCCGTAGTAGAGGGCGCGCGGCCACATCTCTTAATCTGCTCTCTACTTTTTCCATCACAGAAACTCGATAAAAAGGTAGTATGCAGACAAAGCGCCTCAGTTCTCGATTCTAAATCCTACTATGATCTGGTCGTTTCCAAGCGCTCTAATAAGGATGTATCGCTCGCACCACATCCTATGACCTATCATTCCTCTAATTCCGATTCTGTAGAGTTTATGTCAACACCCCCAGGCTGAGCAGAGTTGAATCAAAAGACTGATAGCTTCCTCCCGAAGCTCCACCCACAGTTGCACCCCACACCCCTGTACACCATGTCCGACCTGTCAGTGTTATGTCGACTACCCCAGGCTTGGTACAGCTGGTTGTTTCAGTCCAACCGGGTAATACCGAGCCAGACGCTCGGGCTGATAGGAGTATATATGGCTTGCACGTCTAAGGTTATGTTTCTCCCCACAGGTTGGGTTTTGTTTCATGCGTGCCTGCATATGCGTGTTTCAAGAACCCAGCTCAACACCCGTTGGTGCCTATTATATACCTGTATAAATAGGAAAACGAGAAATTCAAGCGAGATAAATTTAGTCACGGCTGATTTCAGCGCCTGCCCCGTGTGCATAGTAAAAGCCGTGATGTCGTCATAGATTATCACTCGGTATGAGAATCAGGATGCCGGGCCGTGCTAGCGACCAATTTGGCGACAGAACGATGAGTACAAGGTAGCTGTAATCTTTTTCCTAACTCTTCCGCCCTTTGGTACTCGTGAAGTGTTCCATAATGAGGTTTTTACGGGAATAGAGGGGTGGTTTGGTCGTGAATAACTAACCCGGGCACGTCGGGTTCTGCAAGGAATTATCCTCAATAGACTGCGGAACAAGGGATTAACACCCCATATTGTATACTCGCCCAATAGTAGACTCTGAGATATTAAGAGATATACACCTGTCCAATGCCAAGCCGATGATGCTGATATAGATACACCAGGAGGGTTAAGCTCACACCCCACGGTTCACCGAAAGGAGACAACCCCGCGGTCATAGCCACCCTCCCACGAGAGTCCTTGCCCATTGTAGGTTATGTTAAAAGGGAGATAATGATCGCAGATGTGTATTGGAGGAGCAGCTACTGATCTCCTGCCCGCAGTCCTAGCGCTGGCACTGCTACCCTGGTATTTATACCCCCGTTATTATCGATCCCTAGAGTTTACCACAGCTCAAAAATATACGTCTTGTTCCCATAGAGCATGAATCTTAAAAGTGGGGGGAACATATACCTGAGCCTTGAGCTTTGAAAGCTGGGAATGTAGATAATGCCAGCTGAGTCTCTGTACGCCCAGCTTTCTTTTCAGCTGGGACCTCGGTGAAAAGTAGCTGCCTTTTTCACGGAATGGAGGTACTCTGTGTGGCCGGAGTGACATATACCTATATCTATACTCGAAATAGAAAAGAAGTCTGCTGGCGCTTGGTGGGTATATGCAATGGACATATCTCGCAGAGAGGTTAAGCGTTCCTAAGGTGGAGGAGAGTAAGGAGATGATATGGAGATAGATGTTAGGTGACACGAAACCGGGGTAAGGGAATCTAGTGCTACAGGGTCGTAGAGGTTGGGTTACGATTTGTATGAAACCTAAGCACGTTGGCAGCACCAGGAGTGCTAGTTGAATGAAATGGATGCTGCTTCGAGAGAAAGGTCTCGTATAAATTTTGATTCGGTGAGCTCTGGACCCGTCTGGGATGTGAGCAGGAAGTAACTTGTAGTTGAATCACGCAAGTAATAGCTTACTTCAGTCCCTCAAGAGCTACCATGCATCGCTCCCCTTGCTTTCGGGGACGTCACAAGCGGGATATCAACATCTAAATCGACAATATCAGCAATAAACCAAAACGCAGTTTCTGAATAACAACTCCTTTCTCCCCTGGTTAATAGAATAAGTACAATAATACCGAGCTCTGGCCTGCGAAAGTCCAAGTTCAGTGAGCCCTCTCCCAAATGAGCGCCGGAGGACATTATATCGGGACAATAGGACGCCGGGATGTTGTATGATCGATGATAAGAAAAGAGGGGGGGAGGCAGGGAGAAGAAGAATAAACCCAGAGGAGTAGCTATTTCGTCATGGTGATGTTAGCGAAGAGAGCCCTTGATAAGACGGATGTCTTGACAGCTCTTTCAGTACCGATTTACCCTCTCTCCTGCCAATTTCATGGTTCCTGAGATGTTTATAATTCTTCTTTTTGCATCGCAGCTCCCGGTGCATCTTCACGTAGGGTCACGGTCAATGTTCACCGCAAGGTCCCAGCATTGAGTATTCCATCTTTCAACCGCGCCGCTTCCTGCCGGAGGCCTCGATCTCTAATAGTAGGATCAGAACACGGAGCTGAGGTCTCTGCATTCAAGCTTCTTTACTACTCTCCTACACTTTCAGCTATATGGTCAGCGCCCACCTTCTACATCCTCAGTATTGCCGATAAGTACGTCTCAGGGTCAATTTACCTATCACGCTTGGGCAACCTCTCGACGGGCATTTCAAATTCCTTTCGGACAGAGGAACCCCGGAATCGGGTGTAGTGCCTACCCGGACTGACCGTTCGTCACTACACCTTCAGTCTAAAGACGATGGAATAAGGACCGGATGACGACCAGCTGATAAGGCCCAGTGCACTAACAAGAATATGAGGTCTTCAGGCCATGGCTAAGCATACGCAATGGAGGTTCTGTCCGCTATATGGGGTTCCAGACATCCACCACGTAGGCGTACGTACCAGTATCCCGCAACTGCTATGTCCACTAGCGCCAGATATCCACGCCGTCAGCATATCCGGCCCCGCGACTTCGAGAGACAACCCAAGCTAGAAAGCTATCTCAGACCACCAGCCATTCCATACCACCACCCACTACTTCCGCCATACCCTACCCGCAGAAGCGCAACTACCAAGTCTACACTACTCTCAAGGAAACCGAACCAAAAAAAAGGTACTCACACTCACACTCACACTCACACTCACACTCATCAATAAAACCTAACCCAGTGCCAAGCCTACCAAACGACTAATCTACAACCTGTGAAAATGGTCTCCGGGCGGCCTAGGTGTATCAGGCCTACACATTAAGGTTATCACCACAACAGAGCGTCAAAATGGAGGCTGCAGTTTGGGAGATATGGCGGTGGGTGATGCAGTGTTGTGTTCTGGGTCATGGGGGATCACTCTGCGTCGTCACGCCAGCTAGCAACGGCCATCACGCCAAGAAACGTATCAAATAGACCAGAACTATCGGTGCTGACGTGACGTCTACGCCGATACACTTCCATCATCTAGACCGCTGTTTCCCATCTCTACTTTGTAGGAATTGAGGTAGCTGCTGCTGCACCCGCATCAAAGAAACCACTGTTTGGCTAATACTCAAGCAAAACAGAGCTCCCGCAACGCCTCCAACCCCGTCAAGAACTGCAGCTGTCGTGATCCGCCTCCATGCAGCTGGGCATAAACCACGTGCACAGGAACAAAGGCACCCATCTCAAGCAGCGCCTCCCCGCATTACCACCGTGGAACTAATCTGGCAGTAGCTAGCCACTTGTCATAAAACACCGCCGTCTATTACTTAATACCTCTACACCACACATGAACCATCACTTACGAGGCACACAATCTCTATACTGCTCATCCACATTTAAGTTCAAAGGAAAGAGGAAGAAAGAAAAAAAGAGGACATAGAAATCGAATTTTGCTATCAACGAGCGGCTGGCTGCATGGTAGAGCAGAGAAGAAAAGAAGGAATAAGATACAGAACGAAAAAAAAAAATACCAATGCAGCCCACGTAGGCACAAGTCCCACGGTCAAAAATGGAAAAAAAAATGGCCCAAAGAACCAGCAATAGCAATAGCACAGCCACCAAGAAACGAAACTAGAAAAAACATCGAGCACTAAACCACACTACATGTACCAATTCCAAATCCAGAAAAGAAAGCACAACAACCCATACGCCCCCACGAACCCAACCAACAAAGGAAACCAATCTTCAGCCACCAGCACTCACCACCAGGAGGACTTCACATATCCAACGACCGCACACTCCTCCCCCTCGAGCTCGCCACCGACGGCGTACTCCTCCTCACGCTCGCCACAGACGGCGTGCTTCTCGCCGACGCGCTCGTCGACGACCCTGACTTTGGCGGGGGGCCCTGCCCGCTGCATCTCCTGCACGTCGACGTCTGTTATACACACACATCACATCAGCCATCAGCCACACTGCACTGCACTGTACGCCACAACCAGGGTGTGCGGGGGCATGGGGGTAGCGGGAACGGGGTAGGGGATGGGAGATGGAGGGGGGCAGAGGGATGAACACACCATAAACGTCGAAGCCCTCGAATGCACCATCGGTGCCGGGCGATGATACGCCGCGGGGGCCGGGTGATTAATTTCTGCCAGCAGGTCCCGCTGCGTGCACATTAGCCGGGCCATGCACCTGCAGCCGGGCCGGGGAGGGAGAGAGAGTGGGGAGAGGCTTACAAGCATGGCGACTTCGCGCTCCTTTGCATCAATCATGCGTTGCAGCATGATGAGGACGTCCGTCGCGCCGACGGCGGACTGCCGCTGCCGTGAGACGCGGCGGGAGGTCATCGTGCTGCCCAGCTGGCTGGCGGGCTGCTGCTGCTGCTGCCGCTGCAGTAAGACACCGGTCGGTCGGTGGGTGTTGGTGGATGCTAGCTCGATAGCTAGATAGCTAGATAGCTAGTCTATAGTGATATCGGCAGGCAGGCGGAGGAGGGGTTCGGATTTGGGTGCGGATTTCGGCGGTGATATGTGATATGGAGGTCGATGTTGTGTTCGAGACGCGGCGGGCGGCTATGTGTGTGTGTGTGCGATGATCGTGGGTTTGGTTTTGTTTTGTTTGTTGGGTGTGTGGTTGCTGTTGTAGCCACCACACTGCTGCGAGATGAGGAGAAAAAGGGGGTTGTAAGATTAACGATGAGGCCCCACAACAACACAATCAATCAATCAATCAATCACCACTGCATGAACTCGAAGATCTGAGGTTTTTTGTATTCTCCCACCGCCTCTCTGTGAGATCCCCGCCACTATCTCCAGATAACCTGTGAATATCGAATATCGATAATAGCGAGTGCATGTCCTAGTTCGATGTGACGGGGCTGGGGAGATGTTGCAGGGACCACCCGAGCCCTAACCCACATGCAGGATCCATCCACCCAGCTAGCTGCATGCATACATGTACACTGCGAACACAGAAGAGAGAGAGAGAGAGCACCACAGCACACGTCCCTCTCTCCACACAAAAACGAGGAAGCTCTGAACAGCTCATAATGCCCCCAGCACTCCTCTCCACGCCCGCCGTGCGGCGCCAGAACCTCTTGATTGAATTGTACTACCTAGCTCCCCTTACCTCTCTACTTCTCCTCCTGAAGCTCGATAGCTAACTAGCAGCTCCCACACAGCGCCAGTCTAAAACATGCCGCGCCCTCAGGCGTCTACATGTCTCTCTCCCTGCCCGACCCCACGCTCTGGTCCGGCGTAATCTTCACGCGCAAAGGTCACTCCCCCTCCCCTCTCCACGTTCCCCCCCTCCTCCCTCCCCATACCTCCTACACCACACATACTAACACTACCCCCTCTAGGTCCCTACCACGGCGGCATCTTCAAGTTCACAATCACCTTCCCGCCCACCTACCCCACCACACCCCCCACCATAATCTTCCAGACCCCACTCTACCACCCGCTGATCTGCCCCTCGCCCGCACCCCCCTCCTCCCCATCCACCACGCCCGGCCTCTTCTCCCTCCGCCACGGCTTCCCGTGCTGGTTCACGCCGACGCCCACGTCGCCCTCCACGCCCACGCCGACGCTCGACGTGCTGCAGTACATCAAGGCCTCCCTGACCGAGGCGTCGGTGCTCGACGACGTGCCGCTGAGCGCGGCCGAGAACGACGGCGCGTGGAAGCTGTGGAGCGCGGGGGAGGGGGCGCGCGGGGCGACGGGCGGGTGGGAGGAGAGGGTGGGGAGGGTGGTGGAGGGGAGTAGGGGGGAGGAGGTGGTGTTTGGCGGTGGGGGTGCGGGTGCGGGTGGCGGGGGGATGAGGTTTGTGGAGTTGGAGGAGGGGGTGGTGGAGGGGGTGAAGGAGGTGGCGAGGATGGTGGTGGAGGAGAGGGTGGTGTTGGTGTAGTGGTTGTGAGGGGAAAGGGTGGGAGGATAGGGGGGGAGGGGAGGGGGGGAGGGTAGACTAGACTTCTTTCACGATTGCTAGCCTTTGTATGTAGACCAACGACACTTCATGACCACCTTTGCTGCTGCACAAATCATTACCACTTCTCACTCGCAACCCAGTCCTCTCCGCTGCCATGTTTCCACTGCGCATGTTTCCGCTCCAGGATGTTTCCGCTAGCCACGCCGCTAAACCCAAAACCACTTAGCATCCAGTAGTGTGCTTTTTATTATTACTAATTTTCTAAAGGGAGAGCGGTCTCCGTCCATTGGCTGGTTGGCGCAATGGTAGCGCGTGGTCCTCCTATTCGTAGTAAGACCGAGGTTGCGGGTTCGACTCCCGTGCTGGTCGGAGATCTTTTTGTCTTATTCTCTTGTTTGTGAGGTGAGGTCTTTCGTTGTCGTTGTCGTTGTCGTGGTTGAGGTTGTGTATGGCTGTGAGGCGGAAGCGATGTGGAAATAAGATCGGTTAGTTGAAGATTGACTGGCTTTTTGATTGCCTGTAGTATGGTGGATTTCATTATGGCAGGATAGAGTAGAGTAGAGTAGCGTTGCAGATTCTAGAAGTTCGTTGCTGGCTCTCTTATCCGCGTTCTTACTCGTGTTCTTGTTCCCGATCGATCCCGCTCACGGTTACGGTTACGTGAGCACGAGGTGACGTGCGAAGCGGTTGGTGCAAAGTATGCATCATTGATTATCACCCGGACGAGTGAGAACACATGTACAAGACGCAGCTGCTACGCGTGCGAGTGAGTATCCGTGACGTGACCACCCACGGCTTTGATCGAGGTTTGTGCAACACCTTGTGTCTTTTGTTACTGGTTGTTTGCTGTGGGTGTGAGGATAATAGTCTAGCTGGGGGTTTCTTTGTACAGTTATGTTCTTTGCCGTAGATAGTAGTAAATGCTAGAGCTTTCAGAAGTTCGGTATTGCGTCGATGCGTTGTGCGTGAGATCTGGTCTGTTCGTAATACGACTTCACGACTTCACGTCTTCAGTAGATCTAGATCTGTAGAGGAAAATGGGTATATAACCCCCTCCTCCGTCCGCCCATTATTCAATCCCATCATCCGCTCTCTGATAAGATGTCTACGCCAGTATATCATATTATCCATTACGAACTCTACTCAAACTCCCAACACATTATCCATTCCGAACTTTGCGTGAAGACCCAGCACATTATTATATATCTCCTACTACCAGGCCGTCCGAAATCTCTCACAATACGAATAGGTCCACGAATACAACCTCGTCAAGCATTAAGCCATATAATAAATGTCGATATATATGTGGACAAGCAAGCCGAGAACCATTCATTTATCAATGGGTTGAAGGCAAGAATGCCAATAATTGCGAAAGGAAGGAAAATGGGGAGTGATGGTGCGGGGAGTGCCACATATATTATAGTGCGGAGCTATCTGCCGTGGGTGCATGAAGACACAGCTAGAGGCTAGAGGCGTTATCTCGAGAGCTAGGTACGTACAATTACAATACCTCAATCCTATCCCCATCCCTCATCAGCAGTTTAGAGTCTAACTATAGACCTCAATATAGTTATATAAACAGCAGTCACTGTTGAAATGGAACCAATGCCCAACCAGTATACTCTCAACACTCCCGAAGCCCCCAATCAACCCAAATCTCCCAGAAACCAACCTTTCTCGGCGTGCTGTATCCGTATTTTCCTCCTCCTGATATCGCCCTAGACGATGCCGATACTAGTGCTCCCCTAGCTCCCATGTCCGAGTCTCGCAGAATTGCTCTTCCCAAAACCAATTAGTGGTCCTCGCAAGATATATACTTCCTTCGTACCTGAAGCCAATACATAAAGAAATTAAACGATTGAGACTTTGGAAGGATCCCGGCGGTGCCTGTCATTCCAATCATCCAGAATGATACTCCCGGCCGTGTTATGGCTCCGATTCCCTGAAGAAAAACTGTATACGGGCCGACTCAATGCAGACGATGCGGTATATATCTTGGTTCGATATATATCGAATCTGCTGGTATATATGAGTGGACGCGGTGGCTATTATATTGTCTTCTGCAAGATATATACCCAAGGCGCTCCAAGCTCGAAATCCTGGGGTTTCTCCTCTTCACGGTTTTCAATCCCTAGGATCTGGGTGTTGTTCTTGGGGGGACTCACCGTGATATGTGGTTTGGTGGACTTCAGAGATTGAAAGTAACAATCCTCAATGATCCTGCTCTCCTTCTCTAATTCTCTTGAGAGATCATTCGAGGCAGGCCACTCTAGCCAGAACCAGGGGTCAACGCAAAGAACACCGCGTTGAATATGACTAGTTGGAGCCTTAAGCTTGGGTATACGTATCTCTACCAAACCTTCAAAAGGGACGAAAACCTGGCCAAACTGGAGGATCCGAACCGTTTTGCCCTCCTTAAATCACTATTCCCACCAAAGGATGTGTGGGTTTCTCCTTTGAAACCAATCATTTCTCGCTCGACTCAACATCTAGTGGCAACAGTTGGACTTGCTGATGCCGGAAGGGCCAATGACCACCGCCGATATATATGACCAGCTCAGGTATCACAAATTTTATCGTAAGCACCGAGGATCGGAATAGCAGCTCCATGGACGAATTCGCATTCGAAAGAGAGAAAAACAGAAAGATGTACGAACAAGAGGTGATCACGGACATGTTCAGCCAGTCGGGAAAAGCTTGATGGCGAATACTGCAAAAATCATGATTCCGGCTGCAGTCAGTAATTGTTTCCCATAGTTTCGTCAAAGTACGACAAAAAGGTCAAAGATACCTCTTCAGAAATATGGAGTTTCTTCTAGTCCTTCAGGCGTGCCGAATATATCGTGAGATTCCGTTCAGCCTAGTTATACTTGATTGACGTGTTTATCGAGAACGTGCCCACATTAGTTTACAGCTTCATGAATTGTGTGCGTGCGTGCTGCCGGATGATAATTATCGACGATTATCTTTGGGACTACCGAACCTGCCGAATATCTTGGTTTTCTTCAACTATAGCACAATACTTTTGAACAGAATTCGGTCTATATATATATGAGAGGCGTGAAGGTCTCAGCAGTCCATAAGTCATACGGGTTGGGCACTCCTGGGCCCAATCAAACCATATCCCTTATCATGATATTGCAATCTTCAGAGAAACGGCAATCTTATCTTACTTGGATGTTCATATCTTGTTTGTTCACTACTTCTCCCGCACTTTTGAAGCTAGAAAAGAACGCCTAAAAGCTCAACAAAATCTTTCCGACAAAGAGGCCATCACATAATTATACCAGTATTATCAATCCTTTCCTGAGAATAAACAAAATACCAAGTGGTGGGATAGAATGAGGGAGCGTGCTTCGGTTTGGGGAAGTCGGGTCACTTAGTTGGGGGCGCCGGACGCGGCATTTTTGTTCCCGGATTCTCAAAATTATCCTCCTGGATTTTCCGCTAACTAGTAAGTTTTCCTCTGTAACACTTGACTGTCCTAAATATATGCACATCGATCATTGACTAACGGTCATCAAATGATAGCTGGCAAAATGTCTAAACTCACTCACAATCCAGAACCGGACTCGAAGGGAGGTATCGGGTTTAATTCGGGATTCGGACTAATGCCATGGCGATATATGAGCAGAGGTTTCTAATGTTGGATAGTTTATCAGTGATCATGTTTTTGATCCTTTCTGTTTTTTGTATTTCGTGATACTATCGTCGATCCTTGATGTCAAACGTGAGGAAAGAGGGCTTCTACCTGCCAGGTGTTCAGGCTTATGGGGGAGCCAAAAGTAGCTCCTGTCCTATCTATTACCTGTCAGCTCGCTTTCTTTCTCTTTCTCTTCTCAGCGCATCATCAGGTACGAAATCTGTATCTATCCTCATATTTGTTCCTACATAAGTGGTTACGAATTTAGTTGCACTAGAGTAAACGATATAACATACAATTGAGAGGGCAAGTTCACTGTTATCAAATATTTTGCAACAAATAGCATAGTTAGAGAGCTGTAATCTCAAATGAAGTCATGAGTTTATATATATTTATTTTCGTTAAAGTCGTGAGGTTATTCGTAAGCATCGTAAGTCATAGAGTATTTTACTCATATATATGAAAATGAAAAGGAAGATATAAGAAAGAAACATGCGTATAGACAAAGGAGAAATATACAAAAGAAGTACTGGGTGTCGTTCCCAGCTTCTCTGCTGTGGGGGTTGGTTCCGCCACAACCCTAACCCATTGGTTATTACTGGTTCAACGAAGTAATCCATCGAGCTTTGTGCTCAGCTATGCTACCGGGGTAGAGCTTTCATCGTTATCCTCTGCGGTTTTTGGCGCGGTTCTTCTCAATCGCGTTATATTGTGACCCGCCGTGTTATTCGGTCGAAAACATCAATAATCCCCCCAATCCTCCACTTCGCAGGTTTATTTCCAACAGTATAGTAAACAAGCGTATATTGTTTAACTACATTCCCACATGACGCACAAGGACAGCACTTTTCATAGTTTTTAAGTCTTAGCTTCTTGAGAATCCTCTTTTTCAAGCCTCTTGTGGAGCTCTTCCGCTTAGGTTGATAGTAACCGATGGCCGATTGCGAATCATCATCTTGAGATTCATCTATGAGTCCGCTGGTAGTAGAGCCGGTGGCGCTGAGAACAGAAGTGGTGCTGGTCATGGCTGCGGTGGCGGTGGCGGTGAAGTAAATGGTGAGGAATTAATGAGGGCGGTGGAGTTGATTTTATCATTAATCTCTTGCTGTGGCGGATTCAAGATGGCGGGTTGCATGGTGTTTTGGTTTCATGGCGGTTGGGTTTTCAAGGTTGCGGGGAGGGTCAATGAGGGGGACGCTGGTAAGAAAAATTTCTTGCGCGTCCTCAGCCTTATACCGCCGAGATCGCTGCGCGTGCTGATTCTTGAATCCTTTTAAGGATTACTAGTAGGTCCACGTTGCATGAATAAGTAATTAGTATCCTCATATGGTTCCTTTAATTATTCGGGTTCAAACCATTTCAGTAATATATGATGTAATATTGGGCCCGGGTATTAATATATTGAGAAAGCGAATCAAATCGCCATTATATCTAGCTCAATGCTGCAATTCACTAGCTATAGATACTTAACTCCCGATCTTCATACTTTCTACTAGGGCCGGGTCCTCAATTGCAACCCAGAGTTTTTTCTCTTTTCTTTTTCTTTTTCATTTCTCAAATTTTCTTTTTCCTAGAATTAGTAATCTATTACTCGCTAAAACTTCTCAATTTCAAGCGCTCGCTCGAACTCTTCCTATTACTTTTCGACTTCAAGATCCACAGAATTTGTGCCGCCTAAAACCTCCTTTACTACCACCATCACCTCCACGATTCCCCTCCCCGTCACGAGTCTCCTCACCGTCAAGAATTTCCACCCCATCACGATTTACCCCCACCACAACTCCCCTCCCCACCCCTCTTCTTTACATGACTACCTCCGGCCGCTGCCCCACTTTTCCTATCCGCTCCCCCAGCACTCTCATCTTCTTTCACCTCAAAAAGATATCTCCCAATCCCAATGATCCTCTTCCCCTCATCCCCAGCGTCCTCGGCGTCCTCGGCGTCCTCACACCCGCACCCGATAACCCACGGCCTAGTCATAGCGTCTCCAATATTCTTCGCTACCTCATCAAGTATTCCAATATGCATCTTAGCTGACACCTTCCTCATAGCCAACCCAAAAGCGCCTTTCTGTTCCTTCTTCCCATACCCGGTCTCTTCGCGGTACTCGTGTTCTTCGGGTTGAACTTCCTGCATCATGGTCAAGGTGTAAGCTCTCTCCATTGGCTCAGTTCTCTCTACTTCGATGGCCGTAGTTTCGGGGGGTGGTGGCGTGGGAGGTGTTATTTGGATTGTTGGCACACTGGTGTTTGCGGGGTTGTGATATCTTACGGATACTGAAACGACGGGGTGGCTTGGGAAGACTCGCATTGTGCGGGGTATAGTGTGTGGTTTTGTGGATTCTGGTCCTGGGGTCTTGGAGTGTTCAGCCATTGTTACTTCGTGTGTGTGTGTTGATCAAATTATATTTTTGACTTGGTAAGCTAGGTCGTCTTTATATCAATTAAGGTTGAATAATAACATAGTCGATATGCTTTTCATACAGATTATTACGAACTCATGCACAGTCTTGAATAGGTACTTTATCGCGAATATTTCAAAACATATATATCGGATTCGGTACGTTTGAAAATGAGTGAAGCGCGATTAGTACGAGTGATATGCCATGAGTCTCGACTGTTTCTTTTTTCTTTTTATCTAACTCATATGAACCTCGACTGACTGCCGGTGTGCGAGTGACAAAATTTAAGTGCCTGATATATCTAACTTGAACGCTCCTCGTAGATTGACTCTTTCAGAGAACAGGCAGTTATCGTCGATCCTAAAAAAGGAAAGCAGCAGATGCACCACCGCCGAAACGGGTAATAAAATAAGCCTTACTTTGACCATAAGTTTTATAACGACCTCTAAAGTATATAATTCTTTTTTAAGGGTTACTTCAGTCTTACTTTATCCTTAAAACATGCTTAAATCACGCTTATCAGGGCCTTGTTTTGGTGAATACGCTCCTTATAATCCTATAATTTGGTTAAGTGTTTGGTAAGGTTTATGTCATGCTTATAAAAGAGCTCCTTTTCGAAGCGTTTATAGAAGAGATAATGCCGGTGAATCGGCGCCAAAAATCCTCCTAGTCCGTCCATATACATATCGTCCAAGACCATGGGAGCCTTCTTTCAACATATTGATACTCAAACCCCGGGAAAAGCACTTCGAGTGATATTTCATGATTATAAAGCAACGAGTTCCACTCAGCTTACTTGGAGGGAAAATATGCAAATACCCATGCTACTGTATTTAAATGGTCTCAAATTTTCCGTTTGATCATACGTTGCTATGATACGGTGCATCAGGTTGTGGAGTGGATCGCCAAGTGGAGCTAGAAACAAAACTCGGTCACCTTCCCCGGATCCGCACAACACATGGCCGGGTTCATGCATAGGAACACCCACTCCCAAATCAAAACACGTAGATCACCGCACAGAGAGCTCGATATATGTGTATTTAATTATTGACTCGTTTCTTGAAATATCTTAGAATGACCTGTCTTAGTATCACCGCCACCTCCAGATGGTAAAAGTGGCACTCAAAAGGTTGCAAAAAGAAACAACAACAAAAGACTGGACGGACCGGGGATTGAACCCGGGACCTCCTCAATTTTCAATGTTGCCATTGCAAATGAGGCGTCATACCACTAGACCATACGCCCATGAGCCTGTGGATAAAATAGGGTGTATATATTATTTAATACCTTAAGGCTACTTAATACGAAGTTATAAAGTTTTCCGTAGCATCTACAAGGTGAAAGTGAATTCAAATTAGTACTTTGGGGAGTTACCAGAGTAGGATAAACTGCATACATGTTATTTACATGGGTCTCACGTATGCTAGATGTAAATGAGAAGTCCATAGCTGGATCTTCTCAAAACCACAACTTAAAGAACCGTCAACAGCGTACGTTCCAATCCTCCATAATATGCCCAAGGAACACCGTGTTCGAAGTTATTTTGTGGTCACTAGAAATGTTATGGGGAACAGAAAGAAACAAGGTTTGAAAATTAGATGGACGAGCGCAAAAATGGCTTTACATTGTCTGGATGGCGGAGATGGTGTAGGATTCGAGTTATATGGGGTTACTGGCAAAGAAAAGGTTCATATTCTAAATTCACTACTAAGAATTGAACGGTCCATTTCTCATTTCTACCCCCCGAACCCGGCCATACTAAGAATATTTTAAGTTTGGATTTTATTTCTCATCTATCTCCCTTTCATTCAGCGCTCGCTCAACACTCCCAATCGATACCCTCTCTCACTATCTGTAAGAACAGATAATCATAGGGAAGATGCATAACGGTTCTAGAAAGTGCAGAAGTAGAAGGGATAATCAGAATAGTAATTAAACACTTTGTGCCCAAATCGTCTCGTCTTTTCACATCGCCCATGGTCCAAAGTCTGTCTCCCTGACATCACGCAAGGTCATCAAACTTTTGAGAGTATCTTGCACCGAGCTATCGCTCCATTCCACATTTTCAGCTGGCCCTTGTGTATCTTTTTCACGCTCGCTATCATCTTCGGATGCATTTCCCGAGACATAAACTGTACTGAGGACATCACCATGCTGTTTAATGCCGAACCGGTCATCTAATGGCGGTCTGACGTAGACAGGACTGCTTTGCTTGGATCTCATAGATCGCCGCTTTATGCTTCCACTGCTGAAACCTCTTTGACGGAGTTTCATTTCAAGCCAAATACGTTGGGCTTCATCCGCCGGTTCCATATCATCCGGAAGTTCTGTTTCCGGAGATGAGTCGATACCGGCAATGAATGGTGCTCTGTCCTCATTTCTTAGTTCTTTACTTCCGCGGTATCGATAATCGAGATCCACAGGCGTGACAGGTAGTGTCTGGAAAGAAATACCCGTTGGTTTATCGGGAAATGTTTGGGAGCTCGACAACCAGGCTGCACCGCAGTCCCACCCACTCTCTGCAAGGTCGTAGCTATCTCTCTTGTTCTCGGTATCATAGCTTAGCCTATACCCGGAATAATTTGACTCTCTCGTATCTCTAAACTTCTTCTCGACTCTTTCTCTGTATTCAAGCTCCTTCGATATATCAGTGAGGTCGATACTCCATGTCGGCGTCCCATTCGTTATCTCTTGTACTGCCTTTATTGCCTGGGTTGGGTTACTATGCATACTAGCTACACGTTGAATTAAGACCTTCTTGACATAGTCTTTTGCGGTCATGGGTGAGATCGGTGGCGATTCCTGTTTATCAACAAGCTTATTCCCTGTAGGAGAAAATCTCCATAATGAATCCTCGGTGAATCGTGAAACCTCTACGTGACGCTCGGTAGAGAACGATGTTGATTCTGAGAAGTTTGTATGGCGATATGTCGCCCTGACCGTTAAAAGGCGAGTCTGTAGTTCTCCGAGAGTTGCCTCCAGCTGTCTCTCAAGGTGAAACCACCGGGGTAAAACCTCGTCTTCACAGCAATTCACAATATCAGGCAACGCAATGTCGCCGATGTGAACTTGTACTAAGAGAGTTCTCTTCTCTCCTGGAAGGAATTTTGGAAACCGCACTTCTCCCATTACCGCTCGCACCGCACAATTTTCTCCGGGTATAAGATCGATTACAACATCGTATAGAATGCCTAAATCAACTGCTGTCCTCAAGAGGCGGATCATCTCTTCAACCTTTATCTCTTTCTTGATTTCCTTGCCCTTTTCTTTGTAAGTACTTAATCGTTTGTCTTCTAGATTGGGACGTGGCCCCAGTGATGCAGTTGGAACACACCATCCTGAAGCCCCCATCTCACTTCTTGGCCAAAATAGAGGTCCAATACCAATGACATGAATTTGTATCTCGCCAAAGAACACCTCAGGAACCAGCTCTATTTCACCGTCGTCCAATCTAGCTGTCAACAGAAATAGATGGGCGTGTCTGCGTGTTCCGTAGCGTGTTGTGTCAAGGGGCATCCCTTTTAACTTCGTTATCGAAGCTTGGATCGCTGAGCGGACATTTCGTGACACGGGATCGCTGCACCATTTATTCTGTGTGAGTACTGCGATGTCATCAATAAGCTGTTTTTTCGCAACGCTTCCGGAAGAGTTCAGCACTTGTACTGTATCCGGCCTTACTGCCGTGATTCCTGTGATTGATGATCCTGTAGGAAAGGTCATAACAGCAACTCTATCCCGCGATGTTTCCATTGCTTCAACGAGTTTCTTGGCGTGAATCTTCATACTCGCAAATGATGCACTCGATGTATAGGCACTTTAAACAATTAGTGGATGACTGACCCTACGCCCTAAATGAAAGGAATGTCTCACGAGGTATCGATTAGAATTCCTACATCCAGTCCAACTTTGCTTCCTTGGAATCCCTCAGCGCCGCCGTCGACGGAAGCATCTAGCTCTATTGATATCCAGGTGGCCTTCTCAGTTCCTTGCGACCCCGGGTAGGATATTGGGACTTTTTCCGTCTCTGAGACGACTTCCATTTGAAGTTGTAACATCGGAGGTTTCCATTGACCTGTTTTCTTTAATCTGGTCCGAGTCATACCACCGGTACTTCCTTCAAATATGCCGAGAACACTATCATTAAAGTTCCCCTTATTTCCTTCTCCCAAGAAATTCCCGGTGTTATTGCTCTCACTATTAGCATCCCAGTGCGCCCTGCTAATGTCATTTGCTTTCCTCAAGGTCCCTGGCTCGCACCAGCTCTGGCTGGTTTTCAAAAGAACACGGTTCACGGAGGTCGACTTTTCTCCATCGTTTAATGGCTCCACAGCTACTATATTTTTTATTGTTGTTACCATTGTTGCAGAAGAGCTACTACTGCTCCTTTCCTTTACTTTTGACTTAGTTTCCTTTTTCGGAACGTTTGCCCCACCACCACCAACTCGAGTGAAAAAGTCCCTCGAGAAAACTTTATCCTTCCATCCCTTCGAAGCAATTTTTTCGATTGGTTCAGATGAAGCATTTGCTGACTTTGAATCTACCCTTTTCTTAGATCCATGTGCTCCTGTGCTTGAAGCCCTGCGAAGTTTGAATCCCTTTTTCCCATGTTGTACAACATCTGTCTCGATCTGATCTGGTGAGTTTTCAATTTTCACTTCTGCTGACCCATAAGAACGTGTTCTATATGAACTCCCGGCTGTTGCATCCCCGCTGCTATTCCGACTTCCTGGCTCTGTCGGAGAGTGGTGTGTGGGGGCCGTCACATAACCAGACTCCGGGGTCGGTGTGTAATCATCGAGAGAGTTACTAGTTGAAGAATCCTGAGAACCGGTAGTAGGTACGCCGCCGGGTTGTCGAGAATTCCGTGGCCTCTGCAACCATGCCATACCTGCACCAGGAAGGTCTCTCTTTTTATCAGTCCTAGCAGTAGAGGATCTTCGTAAAGTCTCTTTCCCAGTTCTTTGTTTGTTGGTATTATTTTTATCTATTAGCAAAACACCCGTGGAGCTGCTACGTTGCTTCGGTTGCGGTGGAAAAGCAACTCCAAGGAAGCTTCTAGATTGTGGCGGTGGCCGTCGAGGAAAGTGCACCTGTTTTGATTCCCGGCCCACAGGCAATGAAGGCGATTTTCGAAGTTTTCTGATGCTTAGCGGTCGAGGTGCCGGATCCGTGTCTTCGGTCACCTTTTCAGCAAAGGCACGTGTTGGTAATTTGGCCCTGAAAGAATTGAGTGGCTGAAGGCCGAGAGGGTGAAAATTGAGATTTTGCATATTGGGCGCCCTTAGCACCGGGAGGGACGGAGATTTATGCCTAAGAGGTGCCACATAAAGTGATTTCTGATACGCCGCCTCAGTAATAGCAGCTCGATGAGGTCTTTGGCCTGAAGGCATTCTCTGTCATCTGATCAGCCTCGCGTTGACTTAGATTTCTGACCCAGTCAGCATATATATTGGGAACAACTTCATACCAATTGCCAAATGATAATGCAAATTCGAATAAAATCTAAAGTACGAAAGCAGCGCACAAATTGAAGAGACTGAAGAAACAATACTCTCGGGCGCACAAACTGTTGCGGATTCGGACAATTTTGATGGAACTAGCAATAGAATGGATGATGGAAATAACGTTAAGAAAAATAGCAGGAAGTGTGCAAAAGATGCTACGTATTACACAGTGGGGATTTAGAGCAAGAATCGAAATATGTGCCTACATACATGTACTAACCACTAACTGACCATGGTACATACATGTATGCTAACCTTGTACGTGGTCGAGACCACCGTAAGGAACTACATGTGCGTCGCATCTCTACTTCCTACTTGTAGTTACATGTAGCCAGCAACACCTTACGGAACTTCATCTAATCGGACCTTCTAACATCACTCTGTATGTACATCACCTGTATTCACCTATACATAATACAAATTATCTATTATCCATCCATTAAAGGCAACGCTAACAAGCACCCAAACGCTGGCCTCCATGGCTGAAACCTACAAACAGCACAAGTCACACGCTGAACCCAGAGCCGATACCTCAATCACCCCTATGGGCAGTACCGAATGTGTTTATGAGAATGATAGAAGTAGTATGAGCACCGCAACTACTGTATCCCAAACAGAAGGGTGGGGTGGCTCAGGTGAAAGGCCATGTCTCGAGCGCACCAGGTACCTACGGAACATCGTCCGTGGCCGAAATTCGTCTGGTAAGTCGGGATGGTACAATAAGAAGTATAATGTTTGGTTTGACGAGGCATCAGCAACTTGGAAGCCCTCTCAAGAACCTACTCCACATTTCGATGGAGCTACACTACAAAATGATCCCCGTAATACCGAAAGATCAGTCCGAACAAGTCCTGCCGCTCCGCCTCAAGCTATCCCGATTAACAACTACGAAGGGACTCAAAGGAGGAGCATTCCATTTCATAGGAAAGCTCTCTTCTGGTCCGTCCGATCGCGAGATACATTCGTTAATCGTTTTCAAAAGCGACAGAAGGATATGTTGACGGTACATATATCTCATTTACGCACTTTCGGTCAAGAGAATACATGCTTTCACACTACACATCTCGTTCCCACATATAAGCTAATCGGTCACCTATTTATTTTACACACAATGGAAGGGGGTGTTGCACCACGCCCGAATATTGCATTGGTACAACAGGGAGTGCTGAATGATCATGGAGAATGGGTAGTGCTTGATACCAAGGTTGAGCCCTATCACTGGAATCCGCTTGACGAGACGAGTGTGATGAATGCTGGGTGGCATCTTTCTGGGAATCAATTATGGCTAGCTTTGATCAGTACCTAGCTATGTTTATCATGGTACGGGTACGAGGCGCAGTCCTGTGATTTCCAAAGCCGTTATTCTAAAATGGGGGGGTATTGTCAAGCTACATGCTTAAGTTAAGAGAAGGAAGGGAGGAGAGGGGGTTATGAACGTTAAATTCACTTTTCTACTTTTTATGGCCGAGATGGCCGGCCTGTGTTATAATTCCAACCATGTTTCATTATTCGGTGGCTGAAAGAAGATAAGTGTCAATCATGATACCGAGTTGACGCCGCGAAGTTTTAAATCGTGCACCTAGGCCCTTTTCTTACCAAAGTACAGACAGGGAAAGGAAAGTTTTTGCATACCATCTCTAGATTTCTTATTTAACTTGTAACCACCCAAACCACCGGATATCCCTAAGTAAGAAAACCTAAGTCTATTTCCATCTAATAAATGGTAGGTTTAAGAAATTCCTCAAAGCCCATAGGATCATGCATGCATAATTTCCCTTTTTATTGTTCCTGTGAGCTCATTTAACTTTCGATGGCTTCTAGTTATTACTAGATTTCGTAGGCCCTGTGCTTCATCATAGCCCGGAAGAAGAAATTGTGAAATATGTGAATTGGAGTGTGGGAGAATAGACGACTTGAGGAGGGTTTGAACACGTGACCTTTGTGAGGAATATGTTTATAGTGCAAAGAAGATACTATTGCGCCGCTGAGTTCCAACGACAACTATGGGAGTTTGTTGCTCCTTATATACAGATAGTTCTTAGTACCACGTGATCCCCTGATTACATAATCCTAGCGCTAAGCCTCCTTGTTTCAACTATGAGTCATCCCTTATACATGAGTAATTACCATACATAACCGATGTCGCAATGCCATATTTTTACACTTCCCCTCACTTGCCACATCGTATCAATTCTGACAATTTTTGGTGAGCTGGTTTTGGTAGTCCTTTGGTCATTATGTCCGCGACATTGTCTTCGGTAGGGACGTAGAGGATTTCGAAGGTTCCGACTTCGAGTTGTTCACGTGTATAGTGGTAGTGAACGTCGATGTGCTTGGACCGATCGTGGATGCGTGGGTTCCGACAGAGTTCAATAGAACCTGTGTTGTCGGCGTGTATGAAGTACTGGTATTGTTGTTGGAGTTCGAGCAAGGCATTACGAATCCATACCAGTTGTCGAGCTGCGAGGGACAGGGCCATGTATTCGGCTTCTGTTGTTGAGACTGCGACTGATTTCTGCTTCCGGCTTCTCCAGCTGATGGCTGACTTCCCTAGTCTGAACACGTATCCTGAGAACGATTTTCTGTCATCTAGGTCTGAAGCGTAGGAACTGTCTGAGAATCCGTCGAGTGTTCTAGTATTCCCCTTCGGGTAGAACAGGTTCCAGTCTTTGGTTCCGTTGAGGTAACGGAGAGTTCGCTTGGCTGCTCGTAGGTGGTCCTCGGTTGGACATGAGGAGTACTGGGAGAGAGCGGTAACGGCATGGGTGATATCAGGTCTGGTAGCTATACTCGCGTACATCAGTGATCCTATTATGGATTGGTACTCAGTTGGTTTCTCGATTTGGTCTTCCGGTTCGCCTTTGTGAAGGTTGAGGTTCGGTTCGAGTGGTGTGCCAACTGGTTTGCAGTTACTCATTCCAAATTTATCCAGGATCTTGTTGATGTATGCGCGTTGTGATAGTGTGATACCGTTGTTGGTTACCGTTATTTCTATTCCCAATATGAACTTCGAATTACCGAGATCCGTACATTCGAAATCTGCCTTGAGTAGTTGTCTGATTTCTTTTCTGAATGGGGAGTCGGGTCCGAATATCATGATGTCATCTACATACACCGATATGTATAGATGGTGGTTCTTATGTATGAAGACACATGGGTCGAATTTGGCTGGGACGAATCCTTTCCGTTGAAGGGAGTCTGCTAGGCAAGCATACCATTCACGGGGTGATTGCTTTAGTCCGTATATGCATTTTCGAAGTTTACAAACCTTGTTGTCCTGCCTGTAGCCTTCAGGCAGTTCCATGTAGATTTCCTCCTTGAGTACACCATACAGGAAGGCTGACTTGACGTCCATTTGTTGTGGTATCCAACCGTTGTGTGCAGCTAGTGCCAGTAGGAGTCGTAGAGAATCATATCGTGCAACGGGGGCGAAGGTCTCATCGTAGTCTTGGTACTGTACTTGGGTGAAGCCTTTAGCAACGTACCTTGCTTTGTACCGCTCGATTGTTCCGTCCGCGTTGTGTTTCACTTTGAATACCCATTTTCCTTTGACTACTGCTCGGTTGGATGGTCTGTTGACAATATCCCAGGTGTGGGCTTTGTCAAGGGCGTCTTTCTCAGTCTGTATCGCCTTTTTCCATAGGTGTTGATCGTCGCTCTGCATAGCTTGATTGAAGGTGGAAGGTTCTGTTACGAGGTGTATTTGGTAGTTCGGGGGGAGTTTGGATATGTCTCCATATTCCGTGTCTAACTCAGCCCTATAACGTCTGAAGTCTTCTTTGTATTGATCGATTAATTCTTGTTCAGTGGCTTCGTCTCCTGGGCCATTTTCTTTCACATCTTCGATATAACTTGTAAGTAACTTCTGTTGTTCTAATACCTTCTCGTCATACTCTTTCCTTCGTACTTCCATTTCAATTTCTCTATTTTTTCGCTGGCGTATTCGATCTGATCGTTTTGGAGGTTGTGGTGGTGTACCTTTGGGTGTCGTTGACACAAGTGGTTTTCCTTTGAAGCCTTTGAATGGTACAACTGGTGCTGGAATTTTCTCCCAGTTGTCTCTTGGGTCTCGCGGTTGTCCCATAGGTACGGCAGGTTGTTTTCCCTTGTCTGGTGTAGCCGGTGGTGGTTTTCTAACCAGTTCCGGTGATTCCGGGAACAATCCTGGCATTTCTGTACGGTTCTCTTCGATTGCATTTGACTCGGGTTCTGGATCAGACCTGTCTTCTGATTCGTATCCGTCGTCTGATGGTGCGTTTGCCGTTTCTGGTTTCAGGCTGGGGATGAAGTCGAGTTCCACTGAGACTTCCCCTGATTCAGGAGGGGGGAATGTGACGTCCCGACTTTCAATTACCCTATGTTGTGTTCCTATCCAGATACGGTATATTTTATCACTGTCTGAGTATCCAACTATGATTCCTTCATACGCTCGGGGTGCTAGTTTGCTTCCTGCTGGCCTAGAGTTTTCTGGGATGTGGACATAGCATTTTTTACCGAATGGCTGAAGGTGTTGTATACTTGGCTTGGTTCCTTTCAGGGCTTCAAAGGGGGTCTTTCCTTTAAGCGTACTGTGAGGTAGCCTGTTTTTGAGGTAGACAGCTGTTGCGTATGCTTCTCCCCATAACGACTTAGGATGGTCCATGATCATGCACCTGACCATTGTGGTTACCGTCCTGTTGAATCGTTCTGCAACTCCATTAGATTCAGGAGTGTATGGGGGAGTCTGTTCATGAACTATTCCTTGTGAGTCGAAGTAGTTCGTTATGTCCTTGTTGATGTATTCACCGCCACCATCCGTTCTGAATCTCAGTATTGTTGTACTGTATTGTTTCTCGATCCTTGTAACGTAGTCCTTGATGGCCTTCTTTGCGTCTTCTTTCTGTTTCAGGAGGTATATCCATGCGAAGCGGGTGAAATCATCGATGAAGGACATATAGTACTGAGCTTTTCCTTGTGACTGTATACTGAACTTTCCAGATAGGTCTGAGTGGATTAGTTCGAATGGTCGTTTGGATCTAGTACTAATTGGTGCAGGTTTCTTGTGTACGCTTTTTGATAGTGCACATTGACTGCAGTGGAAACTTTCTGGTTTGGGAGGCAGCCTTTGAATGTCGTGATACAAGTTTTCTAGTGTCGCAGGATGGCCTAACGCTTGATGCCATTCATCGTAAGTGGTCAAACGAACTGTATTGCTAACTACTTGTACATTCCAAAGCCCCTTCTCCAATTTTGCCCAAATTATTCCTTTCTTTTCTTTTGTAACCAACTTTCTTCCTCCTCCTGACTCCGTTCTAAATCCCTTTTTGTCGAGCACGGTTTCAGAGACCAATCCCACATTTCCCAAGGTTGGGACCAACAGCACATCGGTGAGGAGTATGGAAGATCTACTTCCATCGGGAAGGTGGCAGCTGAAACTAGCGCTTCCCATTCCGGTGACAACGTGGTTGGTTCCATCAGCTGTTCAGACGTTGCCGGTGTGAGGTCGGATGTCGATGAGTTGGTCTTTGAAGGGTGTGACGTGAGAGGTCGCTCCAGAATCAAGGATCCAAGTAAGGGGTTGGGAGATGTCGTGGCGTACCATACAGATAGTGGTTGTAGAGTCATTTACTACAACCGATGCCGAGTTGTCCTTTCTCCTTCCCTTTCTGTTCTTATTCTGTTCTTTGAGCTTTCTGCATTCCGTGTACTCGTGGCCTTTGTAAGGCTGTCCCCTTTTCTTGCACCAGGTGCATTCCTTGTCGCTTGTGGTACTCCTGGTATGGAGCACTTTGTTCCCTGTTTGAGGGGCTACCTCATCCAGGTTCTGTAGTCGTTGGCGTACGTCTTCGTAGGTGACATCCTGTTTGGTCTGGATGTTGTCTACAACGTTGCTCATCGATTTGGGTAGCGAGCTTAGGAGGAATGCCGCCATGGCTTCGTTGGATTTGGTGAGGGGTAGGAGAGCCTGAGCGAGTTTGTGATCTGCGCTTTGGCATCTGGACTTGAGAGTATTCCAGTTCGCATCGAAGGTCGCGAGATGCTCGGTCAGTGATCCGCCTTCTTGCATCTTCGTGTCTAGGACGCGGCTGAGGAGGGTGATCGTGGTGTTGGGTGAGACACGATCGTAGAGGTCTTTGAGCGCCTTCCATGCGTAGAATGCATTTTCGGCGGAGACGACTGTTGGTTGTATTTCTTCGCATACAGCAGAGATGAGAAGGCTGTGCATTTGTTTACGAGCCTTCTTTATCTCGGTTTTGCTGAGTTCGGTGTCATTCTCGTCGGGGTTCTCGATGCTCAACGCTTCCCACCAGTCTACAGCGTCGAACGTTATCCTCCAGGCACTCGCCCAAGTTTGGTAGTTGGATTGCCCTTGTAGCTTAGGGAGTCCATCAAACTTGAGACGAATGTTACTGGTGGCTGTTGTCTCTGAGGGTTTGATCTCAGCAGCCTTGGATGACGATTCTCCTTCTGAAGGCATGATGTTGTATGAAGTGTTGTTGAGTTAAGCGAGGTGGCGATGGTGTAGTGCGGATTCTATTTGGCAGAACCCGGGCTCATAACCTGTGAATTGGAGTGTGGGAGAATAGACGACTTGAGGAGGGTTTGAACACGTGACCTTTGTGAGGAATATGTTTATAGTGCAAAGAAGATACTATTGCGCCGCTGAGTTCCAACGACAACTATGGGAGTTTGTTGCTCCTTATATACAGATAGTTCTTAGTACCACGTGATCCCCTGATTACATAATCCTAGCGCTAAGCCTCCTTGTTTCAACTATGAGTCATCCCTTATACATGAGTAATTACCATACATAACCGATGTCGCAATGCCATATTTTTACAAAATATACAAAAGAAAAATGATTATCCTAGCCTTAATATAACTCTTATGTTTAGTCATACTGGTAAAGACGAGAGAGTTTCTTGCTCGTTTGCAACAGTAAGATCCCTTCCTCATATTGAAAAAACAGTTGTTCAGGACGTCTCTTTTATAAATTTGGGATTACATGTATGCTTCGATGTCCTCGAGATGTGTATACCGCCTCCTCCGTCATTTATGTTATACAAGCGATGGATATCAAGCCTAAACTCCCTTTTACCTCTCCATCGTTGTATTCTTATGAATGTTATTTAATAAACCTTTACGGCCTTCTCCTCCATACCTTTCCCCGCCACCACCTACACACAGCCCGTGCTAATCCCTTCATCCTAACAAATTTTGATACCTTCCTTTTGGAATTCTCATTGAAAGGAACAAAATTCGGGTCGGGATGTAGATGGGTCAGCGAATCTGTGAACTCTGTACTACATGCCCATCTATCGTCGTAGTCACTTTCTTTATCCCATCTACTACTGCGATAGCTGGCGTTATAGGGGTCTTTATAGGGGTTTATTCGTACAACGTTCGTCATTTGGCTTCCTAGTTGAGAGAGACGGGAGGGCTTAGGTTCCAGTTTGTATGCAGTTGTGGGTGTATCTATATAATTTCGAACGTGAAAGTAAGAGTGTTGATGGTAAGTTCGGGTTATAGCGAGAAGGTCCTAGATACTTATATCTACCCATGTACAAGTTTGTTTTTCGATGTTAGCTTTCTACGATTAGTAAAGCAGTGTTGATTTTAGAAGGTGATGGTATCCTATAATTGTCGATGATAAGCGGAGTATTTTTCTCGTATTTTGTTCTGCTGCGGTCTGTTTGTGATCCCCCGGGAGTCAAAAGTACAGACCTAGAACCAGACTTTGATAAAGTTGAGCGATACCTAGCTGAGAACTTCTGAAACTTGTTATTTTTTGGAATGGATGCTTTGTTGTCTAAATGTACGTCTGATCCGCCATGTACTGTATTAGGTACATTTTGGTGTTTAACCTTTAAGGAAGCACACGCCACGTATTCGGGCAACATTTCACCTTCTAGGTCCCCCGCCGGGGATTGTTTCTCCTCCTTGACTTTTCTCTCTTCGTCATCCAAATATTAACTGCAATACGGAAATCTCGTCTTTAGGACCCTCTTGCCATATTTCTAAGATCGATGCTTTATACCAATACTATTCGTTTAATCACACTTGTTCTTCTCAGGCTCTGCTATACAGAAGCCAAATTTGTCCGTCATGACGTTGCAGCTCTGAGCTGGGCTGTAAGTATCCTATGCGCTCATGACCGGTCATTTACTATATGCAGCGGAAGGACTGTAGCTAACTGTATACAAAGGTTATTTGTTGTAACCATAAACCAACCCCACCAGAATGCTATAAACTTCCAGTTAGCGATAATATATGCACATGCTTCAAGGAGGATGGTAGTTCTTGGCCGGCGTGTATGAAAAAGTTCTGCCTAGAGCAAGAAGTGTTAAAAGGTAATTTCATTTCTTGAAGTCAAGATTAGAGTTGTATCTGATGTGTTTAGTTGCGATTAATACGACTGAGAAAGATGTTTGTGATTTTATGGAGGTGGATGGACCGTTCCCCGATGTTGTTGTCATCGAGGGTAAATTCCATGCCTCACCGAGTTGATGTTTTGATTATATATTTGCGTGTGGCCACTGCACTTCATTTTATTGAAACCGGGATATTGTTTGGTATTGGGGGCCCCATGGGGAAGAAAGCCAGATGAAACATGGTGACCTCAAGCAGACATCACAACTGAACATCCGGCTCTTACTCTGTACTTCATTTACTTTTCACCAATTGCAAACTTATTGTTTTATACAGTATCTTAACGCTCTGCAGACCTTAGAACATCTGATGCCATGATACGTACCTTATATACGTCCAGTGATAGAATAAGAATTACAAGACATGAAAATCAGAAATCGCTCAGGCTAATATATCTTCATCTTATCCAGGGTTTTTTTCTCGTCATCAGTTACAAGAGAATGTAATGTATGTATAGTACGTACCCAAGATTATATTTTTTAAAAAATGTTGTCACCCATTCTATTCCTGCGCTAAACTTATCTTATATCAAAGTGAAACTCAAATACAGTGAGAAAACTTCACTTCTCTTTGATGGTTTCGAATTGTTTATCTCACAAATGTACAAGAGCGTGCACATGGTTAATTGGGTTTATTAATGAGAAGATTTATTATATCCTCTTCTGCTAGTAAGTTAACTAATTCTCATATTCGAGCGTTCCATAAACTACTAGTTCAGCTGGAATATTAACCTCTATCTTCTTCAAATCGTCGCATCCGACAATATCATATCATAACTTCCTCAATACCCAAACAAACCCCGCCAATCACCATATAAGCCCTTCCATGTAAGCCGCACCCCTCTTTGATTCACATGCTTCTCTGACTTTATCCCACCCCCAGCGATAACAACATCAACTACTTTGACACTCTCAATCTCGGTATCACTGTCCTCAGAATCGAGCCAACGCTCATCATCAGATCCGCTATTCGTAAGGACCACAGGTCCAGTCTCTGCAAAATAGGTTGCAAATGGGTCGTTCTCGGGGTCCTCAGTCAAAATAGAGATACCGTCGAAGTCACCAGTAACCCCGTTCAAACTAGTAGCCACACCCAGGCCAGTAACCTCGTTCAAATAAGCAGCACCCGCCGCGCCAACGTCAAGATTCTGTCCTCCCACATCTGCAGGACCAATGAACCCATCAGCGCCATCAGCGCCATCAGTGTACACAAACGCCTCCCAAATCTTCCTGTCGAAACTCTTCTCCTCCTTCACCATACTCTCATGCTCAACATTCTCTCCAGTTGCATGACAATATCCACAATCAACATTGAGATCCCAGAAAAGTTTCCACGGATTTGGCTGATCCTGAGGCACCTCTACCAGCTTGCAAGTGCAATTCGCACATTTCTCGCAGCCTGGCTGAAAGACAACTTTCAAGACCATGCCGCCGATGGTGTGAGATGTGGTTCCGACAGGGCAGCAGACGCAGTCGCGAACATATAAGTATTTAGGAGAGGTGTTAGCGATGAGAGATGTCATTGTGCTAGCCGGCGGTGGTGGTGCTGGGGGGAATGCAGCTGGTCGAGAGACCTTCTTGTAGTTCTGGGATGCTTGTGGGGCTAGCTTCTTGAAAGTCGGTTGTTGAACTTGAATATTGGGAAGGCGAACTTGATATGCCATGGGACGGCGTTCAAGTCCCCGAGCTTTGTCAAGTCTGGGAGGCATGATGAAAGCTGATGGTGACGATGTGTTTTTCTATGATGTACTGCTAGGGGTATAGATAGCGGTGGTGTTTATGTGAGAAGAACTGTTGAACGGGTAGTACGAGTATCTATAGCGTAGGGATATCCGTTAGTATAGGGCAACAACAGATACTACTATCGAAAGTAGATGTTAGGCAGCTGGATGATTACCTTTTAGACTCGAAGAGGATGGGGTTTGGTAACAAGATCAATTAATTTAGATGTGAGCATCTGCGAATAGTTAGCTCATTGAAAGAATAATGCGGTACTGTAGTCCGCCTAGGGGGAGACGTCATTGCACTTACATACGTGCTTCACAAAACAATAGAAGGATCGTTGGTTCCTGGAAGGGAAGTTGGAAGTAGGCTAGTAGAGGTGGTGCTGGGCAAAGTTGTTGGCTGTCGGTCCTGCTCTTGTTGCCAAGATGAGTGAGTGGCCTCGGGGTCGCAAGGGAACAAGTTCTTGCCCACTGATAATGACCAGATGTTCTTGCGTTAAGACTTTTTTTTTTCTTCTCGAAATAAGCTGTGATTGAAAGTAGCTAATCTCTCAAGTGGTAGTTGGTAGGTGAGGGTGAGGAGGAATGTTAATTGTCGGCTTATAAGCTTTTTAGTCCCAGACAAAATTTACGCCCACCTTCAAACCACACCCACCCATATTAAGGATGTTCCCCATTCGAGCTTTTGCACCCTCAGCTCAGAATGCTCCCCATTCGAGCTTTTACACCCTCAGCTCAATCACCTACTGCGTGCGAACATATGTACACAGTAAATACACTTATTTGTCTTGCTCTAACATCCCCGAGTGATAGCTTGTGATCAATTCTACTGATGCAACCGTGCACCTCCGCAACCCCCCCCCCCCCTTTTCTCCCCGGTCCCCCATGTCTGATTCTTGCAGCTTACCCCAGTCTTTATAAACTACATGTATTTAAGCTTTAATGGAAGTATTACGCTACTCCACGCACTTGTCTTTCGAACCAACGTCCCACAGTAACAACCATCTTTGCTAGTCTCAACCGTTCCATCTTCTTCATACATGACAGACCTTTACTGGTAACCCGGAGTATATTTTCTAGACAGGGTCGCGCTGAAACTTGTCCCACGATGACGAAACCACATCAGAAACGGAGAGATTTGGCGGAGTCGGGACACAGTCTTGTTGGATGCTGCAGACAGCAGGTAAAGGTTTCGCCCTAAAATCCTATGGACACATTTCCCCCAGTTATGGGCCAATCTGTTTACCTCTGCTTACGGCGTACCTCAAGGTATCTCCTTACCTCAAGACCTCCATTGACCTCACAATATCCATCTATCACAACGCAATTGGCCAACGGGAAACCGCGAACCAACCTCAGCAAAGATTCGGGACTCGGAAGAAAGGACGGCGGTTATGGCAATACGGTGGGCTCGAGCTTTGTCCCCCGCTGGTCCCGCTGGTTTTAGTTTGTCTTGATTAGTTCCGCCTTTCGTCTGCTCAAAACACCACTCAGCTGAGCAAGGCGAGAGGTACTGTACTTTGGTGGTAAGTAGCGCAGACAAGCAATGCAACCCTTCGCTCCTGTACTGAGACGAACTGGAGACAGCAATCGATGGACTCGAGAATTTTCCCCCGATCTTCGCCGTCAATTCACTACTGTTTAGCCAAACTCGAGCGCGGTCTGCTATTTTCAAAGTCTAATGTACTTTCGATGTTAACTTGGTTCAGATTTCCCTATCATATTCAAACCAGCTCAACCTAAATTAATGAGCTAGTTAACAACAACAAAACAACCAGATCGACCTGTGGATGTCAAAATGAAGACCGCCCTGACATGGTTTCACAGATAGACTCGCTAGCCGTCGCTTGGTACCCTATCTGACAGTCTCACCTAGGAGGATCGATTTGATGAACTTCGACACTCTACATCGCATTCAGCGTTCACCGCACAATTCCAGGCATACTCACCTCTCCTTAGCCACCTCTCCTCAATTTTATCAAAGTAACATACATCTCCGCCACTCTAAAAATCTGCTCCTTCATAAGAATCATCGCTACCCGGGCCCTTGCCCTCTCAACCTGCATCCACTGCCTGAACTTGATCTTGCCCGCCTTCTTCAAGAAACGCCTAGCCTCCGTGAGAAGGGCTCGCCATTCATCAATACTTGTTTGAAGCTCACCTTGACGTTGGGGGTTTTGCACACTGTGCCAGTAGCGGAACTGGAGGTCAAGTTTAAAATGGTGCATGTAGTAAATCTGCACGTGGAGGTAAGCTATCAGGTAGGTGGTCAATTTATAGGCTCTTTTGGCATCGTACAGGTTGTGTATGGCGGTAGAGAGTGGTGTCAGCTGGGGAGGGGTCGAGGAGAGTGTTGGTGGGGGGACTGGTGGGGAGGAACCCGGGGAGCTAGGTGGAGGAGTGTTTGAACTGGTAGATATCGACATTTTAGATTTTAATTTCAAACTAACCATGTGGCTTAGTTTATCCCCCAGTTGGCGTATCGTCGTTTTTATCAATAGCAGTGTTTTCAAGGTTGAGATGAATGGTCAGAGCTTGGAAATTCTCTACACTCCGGGTTGAACTTGAAATTGTCGGTGGTTTGGAAGACAGCACACTACATCCTACACATAAATTATAGCTTGAAATGGTACTTCAAGGACTACGCTCGTATCTTTCAAACAAACTACAAAGTTCACTAGAACAGTGATGCGAACCCACAACATACTAGGACAAGTAGTAAAGCCTGGATAGGCCTTAATTTCTGACAGTGTCTCCAATCATGGATCAACGCCATTTGACATGGATGAGGCTCCGGTAGAGCTCTTTATAGCAAGGAATACATGTTTAAATAACACCCTCGACTTCGGGGCCTACAATTGAGGGGCCGGGGCAAGGCCTATGAAAATCAAAAATCAAAAATCAAAATCAAAATCTTTTCCACCCGTTGTAATTAACATCCGGCCCAATTAATGATGTATGTAAGTCCCATTCCCCTTACAGTATCTTATCTGCAGATAATAAATCTGGTATCACTCGGCGCTAACATTGATCAAAACATTTACAACCCAAAAAGTCACTCTTTTGGATATCTACTCTCAACGGCAAATGACATTTCTTCCGAATTCGATCACTATACTAGTTGACCATGGACATACAGACCGTACTACTTGTACAGTACTGTCCTTAAAAAGAAAGGGACTAGGACAATCTACTTACTACATGCAACTTGAACATCTTTCTTAATCCAGAGACACAGGCACCGATAATTATAATATTATAGTGGAGTCTCGATAGCAGCAATAGTCGGGAACAGATTCTCGTGTGTTACTATCGAGAATATGCTTGTATCGAGAAGAAATTTGCCGTACCGACTTGTTTGGGATTGCCCAACTATATGCTACAATCGAGGATATACTATTATCGAGAATACTACTATCGGAACTCCACAGTCTCGAACACAACACACAACACTCCAACACCCACAACTCTATCGAAAACAGCAATACTCCATAATTAGCCTACTACTCGAGATTTCTCTTCATACCGCAACCACTTATCGCGAATCGCCTGAAGTTTATTACCCACTGCAGATGGCGGTAGCACAAAGATTTCACTTTAAGCAGCAGACGCCAAGGCAAGATGGCCGAGTGGTTATGGCGCAAGGCCTAGGTCCTGTCGCCAAGACAAGATGGCCGAGTGGTTATGGCGCAAGGCCTAGGTCCTGTCGCCAAGACAAGATGGCCGAGTGGTTATGGCGCAAGGCCCGGGTCCTGTCGCCAAGACAAGATGGCCGAGTTGGTTATGGCGCCAGGCCCGGGTCCCACTTCTGTCAGCAATTCTCCGCCAAGATGGCCGAGTGGTTATGGCGCAAGGCCCGGGTCCTGTCGCCAAGACAAGATGGCCGAGTTGGTTATGGCGCAAGGCCCGGGTCCCACTTCTGTCAGCAATTCTCTGATCCCTCCTGGGATCAATTCTTTTGTAGTTGCATTATGACTTGTTATCTGAGCTACTAAAGGCGCCCAGAGAAATCATAGAAGAAATGATATTATGGATCGATATTTTGTGAGACACCTCCCCAGCGAAAGGCTGGAGTGAGGCATAGGCTGATGTCAATGATCAATCAAAGATCCTCCCAATTCCCGATACCAAGCGATCGGCAACTGCAACTCCTCTGAGGCTCCAAGTAATTGAACAAACCTCCAACGCAGAATAAAGATGCCAAAAAAACGTTTGAGGCATCTCCGGTCCTCGTCTAAGGGGTTTTTGGTGATCTCGTTACCGGTTGCGGGCAGATAGTTACGGCGCTAACATGAAGCTAATGCACCACAAAAAACTCTTCAAGAAAAGGAAAACAAAAACCCTCACGCCCAAGGGCAAAAAAAGATGAATTTGTGACAGAAGTGGGACTTGAACCCACGCTCGTTTCCGAACCAGGAATTGATGTTAAAGTTTTAATACCTTAACCTGGCGCCATAACCAACTCGGCCATCCTGCCATCAATACTTTTGTTCCGATTACATTTATCTTCTTTCCGCGTTAATCACTGGGCGCCAGATCAGAAACAATGGTTGAGGGTAATTCAGAGGGAGATCTGTACACTCGATTGTAAAACATTCTGTCTAAACGGCGGGGCGAGGTGGAGCTTTTGTACGGTTTCCAACGTGGAACTCGAGGTGTTCCAGAGACGCACGAGATGTCACTCGAGAACTCTACTCTGGAACTTCGGAACCTGAAATATCCTCAGCCACAGGCTACAACAGCAGAACCTTCACCAAATCGCCACTCCAGAGAGCGCAAAAGTCTTTACCCGCCCCGGGAAGTGCTGAACCATCCACGGTGCATGCCAAAAGAGTGCAAAAAGGTATTGAAAGGAGGGGGATTCGAACCCCCGCGGGCTAGGCCCATGAGAAACCTCGCTTTGTAAGCAAGAAAGCAGAATTTGCTTGAGTCACACACCTTAACCACTCGGTCATCCTTCCATGCCATTTTTGCCAAAATAACGCTTTATCAAGCCAGGATCAACCTCACAACCCACATGATGTCATGAATTCATTCCCACATTATCGTACAACCAAAAGAAATTTATGCTACAACGCCCTCTCTCAAAGTCTTCACAAACTCCTGTCCAAACGCATACGCGCTGGTCGGGCCCTCACCGCTCACAAGTTCCCGATCCCGCACCACATTCGGCATCAGCGGGATTGTCGAAACCTCCACCTTCGCTCCGGCCTCCCGTAACGCATCCTCAACCTTCTTCTCCAGCTTCGCGCCCCACATCAACTCATTGCTCATCTCCTCCTTGTTCGCATAGCACGTCACACGGTAGTCCTTGTACGCGAACTCGCCATTCTCGGCCAGCTTGGTTGACAGCAGCGCAATGGGGCCGTGGCAGATCACCTATCGCACATCAATGTCAGCACAGGTACCTCTGAGGTAAGGAAGAGGAGGGGGTGCACATACGCCAGTAGGTTTATGCTGCTTGTGGAAATGGCTCAGGATCCTGCCGAGCTCTGGGTCTTTCCCGAGATCGCCCATGGGGCCGTGACCGCCGGGGACGAAAACGCCGGAGAAGGAGGAGAGCTCGGAGTCGCTGATGGAGGAGAGGGAGCGCGGGTTGCTGATCTCCTTGTCGAGGCGCTTGATGAGCTCTTTCTCGCGGTTGAGTTCGTAGTAGTTTCCTGTGGTGCTGGTTAGTGGCTTTTCAATATTTTTGGGGAGGGGGGAAGTGGTACCTAGGAACCAGAGAGAGGAGTCGGATAGAGTGTCGAGACGGGGCTCTTGGCCGCCGGGTGTTACGAAGGTTACGGAATAGTCATTGTCGAGGAGGAGCTGGAGGGGTTGGGCAAGTTCTTTGAGGAAGTATCTGGTAGGTTGGTGTTAGGTCAATTGTTTCTACGACTGGATGGGTGAGAGGTAGCTCTAGTTTGGTTTGGTTACTGACCCAGTTTCTTGCTCGATTTTCGAGCCGTCCTTCTTCTGGATTGCGATTGAGTGGCATCCAGAGAGGACGATGAGGACTTTCTTCTGGTCTGACATTTTTAATGATAGTTGTATGGTATCGAGGGTATAAGTACGGTAGGTTTTTTTCTATAATTCAGGATTCAGCACAAAGATAAGTATTCCGATACTTCAGCTCGAATTTTGCTATTCCTCGGCCATATAAATACAACATCTATCTCCTCCAACTGCCCTGATTACTGATCTCGAAGATCCTCCCATCGTGCCTTTACGCGTAGATGACATTGCAGATACGTCACAATCTTCCAAGAGAGATTTACAGTCGTGAGCAAGGATTGAGAAGGGTGAGTTGGCTTGACTGAGTGGCTTTACCGGCGTTCCTGCCAATTTTTGTGTGATTTCAAATCATTACTGTCGAGTACTCCTACTGGGAGTTGAGGAACTGGTGAGCGATGACATCATGAGGCTCTGTGCATCTCTTCCTAGCCCAGCAGAGCATCGACTTGAGCATCTCTGCCCACACGCATTCCCCACTCGCAATTCGGTCAATAAATCTCCATAGGAGTACAAATTCCTAGAAGTAAAAATAAACAAATCACTGTCTTTAATATCCTCATGTGTAGTCTGCAATTTCTCCCAATCCTAACCCCGAAACACACGGCCCTAAAATTCACACTCCCGTCTCTACCCTGCCCGCACGCAAGATCTCCAGTCCGCTCACGCCAAGCTCAGCATGTACTAATTGAGAATTGTCCAAAGATGATAAATTAACTTCAGCCCCCATGGCAGGATGGCCGAGTTGGTTATGGCGCCAGGTTAAGGTCTTAACTCTTAACATCAATTCCTGGTTCGGAAACGAGCGTGGGTTCAAGTCCCACTTCTGTCATTTCTCTTTTGCTGGGGCGGGCGGGGTTGTGAAGTTTTTTTTTTTGTGGCGCTTGTTAGTACTTGGTGGGGTTTTGTGGGTTAGGGTTGTGGGGATTGTGGAGGGTTACGGTGTTGGTGTTGGTGATGGTGATGGTGATGGTGATGGTGATGGTGATGGTGATGGTGATGGTGATGGTAGGACTGTGTGCTTTGTGGCATTTTGGATTTATGGTTTCTCACCTTCGATTTTGCGGTGTTTGGACGCCGCGAGGGAAGGTGCGGGAGTTGGCGCGGGCAGCCAGCGAAAGTGACAAAAAGGTTGTGGAATCATCAGTCATCACTCGAGGTCGCGAAAACCGTCGCGACAGCTAAATCCAGTGCACTAACGGTCTTTGAAAAAGCACAAACTCCATCCGAACGCTATCCCCGGAGTCCTAAGTACCTCTTCGTGATTCGAGGTAGAAAGGCTATCCATTTGTATCTTCATATCATTACATAGAGCTAAGGTACGCTCACGGATCAACATGTATACTACGGGAAAGAATAGACATGGGAACGATAGGGTTCTTTTAGAATAACATATGGGGTTGGAACTACTTCTGGTTCTCATTATCTATCTCTGAGTTATTTAGAGGGTTTATAGATATAGGAGCCCCTTGCGGAGCCACTGCACTGAGCTCTCCTCAAAACGTAA